GCACAGAGACCCACAGGCACAGACAGAGACCCACAGACACACAGAGACCCACAGACACGCACAAATACACACAGACACAGACAGATACACACAGACAGTAGGGGGTGAGGGGAATCATGTATTCGTTCGCCCAGTAATTTCTTCCCATGTCCAGCCCTGGTTGAAAGAATAAACCACAAGTACGTATTCTTTGGTTCTTTCGGTAAAGTCACGTAAGTCGAAACTTAATAATAAAAATAAAGTGAATAAAAATATTTTTATTCAAAATATTTTAATTTTTATTCACTTTATTTTTATATCTACGTGACTTTCCCAAAGAACCAACGAATATTATTTCCCGCAGTCGCGAAAGTTTTAAGTCAAATTTTCAGTTTTGCATTTTATGGACGTGAAGCGAGGGCAACGCTTTTCAAGGCCAAAAGCGTGACCCTCGAGTGCTCTCTACTGGATATACATCTCAAAGCCCCGATCGGCTTATCCCAAGAGTATTGTTTTTTGTTTGTTTGCATTTGACTGCAAGTGTTGTGGTTAATGTAAACATGATTCCTTGCAAAAGGTGTCAGTTGTGTTGCCAGAAAAAAAGGGGAAACCCCTATTAGTATATGTTGGTACTGGCAAAGGAGGTCCCATGATGTAGCTGCTCACCCCGAGCTCTCATTACTCTGGTGGTGCGTTGTCTTTGAACTGTGCGCCTTTTGGCGTCATCTGGTAGAACACCATATGAGACTAGGCTCTAAAGAAAGCTGTCTCTTGTGTACCAATCAGTTTCAAGGACAATGCATAAATTATCAGAGTACAGTACATTTCAGTAAAGCGTGTTTAAAAAAAAGTATTTTTAAATATTTTATTAAACCTATAATTATATTTTACCACACACCGCATCCAACAACATAGCGAAAAAAACAGCTATGAAGTTGCTTGCCACAATTCAATATGGGCAGACCTCGACTTACGAAAGGGTTCCATTCCCGAAACCCATTGGTAAATCGAACGGGTTCGTAAGTTGGAACGCAATCACATACAGGACTGGATTTAAATGCATGTGCGGTCAGTTTGATACGTGTTACGGTTCAACAAAAAAGGGAAATACTGTTAAACTCATAAATAATACATATTGCTGATTTGCATGTAATACTGTCATCAACTTTATAGTAAAAAATAAAACAAAATAAAGTTACGTATATCGAACAAAACATTTCAGTTTTATTTTCACTTACAGTCCTGATTGCTTGTCGGAAGGGGCGTAATGAGTCCTCACAATTGCACACACGTGGGGCCACGAGCAGACACACATGACAACAAAGACAAAGATCACCCGTGTAGCCTTCACAGACTGTTGGGGCAAGTGCTGTTAGCGAGCAGGACATATTAAGGCACACGAGGGGTGGGGTGGCCAGCACCGTTACACGACCGCTCCCCACACAAAGATCCCCCGTATAGCCTTCACAGACTGTAGGAGAAAGTGCTGTTGGCGAGCACCTATGAAGGCCGGCACGGCAGACGAAGGGGTGGGTGGCAAGCATCACGCCCGACCGCCTTTGTCTCTCCGGTGGTGATGTTTTTAACGCACCACACTAGGTACTCACATATATGAGTCTGCGTCGACCTAGGGGAGGTCCAGCACCGGTTCACATCATCGTCACTGGTGTTGAGCAGGAATCGAACTTGGGTCGCCGGTTTCGTAGCGAAGGGCGCTAACCACTACACCGCCTATCCCCTGTCCAGCGGGATGCTGTGACTCATTACATCTTGCGGAGAATCGCTCTGCTGATCAAAATAGTTCAGGGGTTCAGTTGGCAAGTGCGAGTTCGCATTCGCAGTCGGATGGTTAAACATTTTACGTCTTATGGAAGCTTGTTCGTAAGTGCGGATGTTCGTAAGTCGTGAGTTCGTAAGTCGGTGACTGTGTATGTTTTTGTCGTGACTGTGAATGTCACTGTGTGCTGCCGGGCTTGCGAGGCCACGGCGGATAATGTGCTGACATTATGTGCAGCCCGGTTACTGGGCGTAGTACCAGCCCTAGCGGGGCTTGGTTGAGCGCTGGTCAGCACGGAGGCACCACGTGTAGTGTGCGGGAGTGTCAGTCAGCCAGGATTACGTTGGGGCATGATACGCTGGTTAACCTGCCGACACGTGGCCGGATGATATTGGAGGGGGGCCACCGGTGGACGGGGGCCGCTGGGTGGTCACGTGGTATAGAGAAGCTCTCGGGAGCCTTCGAGAAGGAGCTCGAGAGATCTGGAAGGTGGGCGGGGCGAAGGGCGGAGCCAGCCCCAGCCCAGGCCGATATAAGGGGGGCCCCGTGAGGGGCACGGGGTTCTTCGGGTTGTTGGTGAAGAAGATCCACATGTGGGTTAGAGAAGCCTCTAGCCACGCGGTCCAGGACCCAGCTCGTGATAGCGGGACCGTGTCTAGTTCTGCCGTAGCGTGTTTAGATGGTCGTTCAACACCCGAGTGTAGGTTACGTTATGTTGTGTTGAGTTAAATAGTGCTGCTCCCAAGACAACGTCTGTGACTCAGTTGGACTCACTACTTTTTGATATTGTGAGAGTGGGGAGCGGTGGTGCAGTAGTTAGTGCACTGCGCTACAAACCTGGCAGAGATTCCTGCTCACAGCCACCACTACCAACATCAGTGGCAGCGATTATCTGAACTGGGTCCTTGGCCTCCCCGAGGTCGACTCAATCCCAAATAAATACCTGGTGCGGTGTGTAGTAACCGTCACCACGTGCATGGTGCTGGCTACCCATGCCCGCGTGTGCTGTGCCGGCCTTCATAGGTGCTAGTCGCGAACGGAACTTGCCCCAACAGTCCGTTAAAGGCTACAGGGGGATCTCAATGAAAAGAAAAGTATATAATGAGCGACGTTTCGGGCAATAGCCCTGCTTAATAGCACACACTGGTGAGTGTTAACCAAAGCTAACCTTTTCTCTACTTATCGCCAGTGTTATTAATGTTTTTTTCCTATTGAATATGTACGTCTAGAAAGTGTATTATGTTCTCAAGTGTGATAGTAAATTACCAGGAACATAACCTCATTCTAGATTTGAAGTTTTCGTGACTGCAAGGATCCATACTCTTTGGTTCTTTCGGTAAAGTCACGTAGGTGAAGATATAAAATAAATTAAATCACGACGTTTCGGGCGCAACACAAGCGTCCGTCATCAGGTGGGACAACCCAGAGAACATAACCTCTCCTATTTAAATTGTTCTTCTGGGAAAATAGGTTACACATAAACGTTGCTTCACTTAAAGTCGCATTTTCCAAGAACGTAAACCCGACATTAAGCGAGGAGTGACTGTACACAAGACAGTGATGGTCAAGACACATTATTCCCAAATTTGGCCAAAACCGACATACTTTACACTTTATCATTTTTTTCACGTGAAAAAAAATATTCTTGTGCGTTTCCCCACTTATTATTGTACTGAGCCTAAAAACAAATGAGTTATTCACTTTATATTGAAAAATAAAACAATGACAATGCGGCCTATTTTGACCAAAAATGACATAGGGTAAGAATGTCAATTTGCTGTTCATCAGAAAGTTTTGGTGAAAATGTCCCACTATTCATTATATATGTAGCATTCTAAGACTTAACACAATGAAGTCATTCACTTTTTATTGAAAAATAAATCCCGGAAATTGTAAATATTTTTCATCAGAAAAAAGTAATTTATCAGAAAAAATTACTGCGAAAATTGCCCCTTAAAAACTAGCCCAATCATACGAGGTTATTATATTATTATAATGTTATTATATTATTACCCATCGGCTCAGTCTCTTAGCAACTATTCTCCCCTTTAGCATTGACATTGCTCCTCCCCTGTCGGCCACTCTCAACAACACTACGCACCACTGTCGCCAAACACTCACAGAGACCACGGCCAGTCACCCACCACTCACCCGACATCGAACCCTCACATCCAGACACCACTCCACCACTCGACAGACAATACTCTGCTGACACTCATTGTCACCTAATCTCTCATTCAATCAATTATACAGGGAGGAACAATGTTCCACACTGCCCACCAGGGATTATTTGTCTGTCTGTCGTGCATAAATATATAATATAAACAGCTCTTTGATTGGTGGAGACCTACTGCCGGGTACGGAGAGGGGAGGGGCCTAAGGGAAGGGGGGTCAGGGGAGGGACCTAAGGATATGGGGGGGGTGGTCAGGGGAGGGGCCTAAGCAAGGGGGAGGGGCCGATAGTTAAGGGGGCTGGCTACCTGGCTGGCTGCCTGGCTACCTCAAGTCAAGTTATCTATATACAGGTAGGAACAACAGGTTCCACACTGCCCACCAGGGATGATTTGTCTGTCTGTCGTGCATATTTGTCTGTCGTGCACGAATGCGCTGTCCAACCAAGTTCCTACCTGCCCACTCCGAAGGAACGTGTTTATCGTGCTTATCTCATTCAATCGCCATGCTCCCCGATGCCCTTCTATGGCTGTGTGGAGCAGCCATTGCTGGGGATGCCCGTTGCTAGGCCGACGGTTGTTGGTTCTTGTGGCCAGTGAAGGAACATTTGATTTTGCAATGCACTTAAGCGTTATTTGCTTCTGCGGCTTTTAATTTTGTCGTGCACATAAACAATGTGTTTGTTGTTTCAACACCTGCAGCTTAAACATAATGGGTAAATTAACTTAAAAAATAAAGCAATTATGGGAATCATGTACAAATGTGAAGTTTACCACTCTTTACGTTATATATGGTACTGAAAAACATACTAATCCCTGCCCTACACTCTTGCGTGGGTAAACACTCTCGTTTTTTTATTTTAAATGTAACTGGCAGGATGGTCAAGTTATTTATAATAGGGGACATTTCTGCTGATATGATGTTTCGTAAAAGAGTGTGTCCAGTACATTCAGGGGGAGGAAATTTTTTCTTTAAATGCCAACCAATATCAATAAAATATCTACGTGTTTTAGCCACCACTCTCCCCCCCAAACAGATCTTAGTCGTGAAGAAAAATACATTTCAAACAGTGTACACTTTCATTAAATGCATACATTTATTTTGATTGACAAGCGTTCAGAAACGGTACAGGAAATTAGACTTTAAACTAAGAGACACATACAACAAGCTCACAATTTTTTTCCCGTATTTTCAAGGCTTTATATTCGGTATCTTTTTTTATTTATCCATCAGGACTTGTCAGTCTCACTATATTGTTTTGTATTCTATCATAAACACTCAAATTTGGTTTAAAAAGCTGATCAACATTACTTTAAAACATTCTTTTATTATTTCCTTTTTTTTCCAGTCACATTTCTTGCTTAGTGACGTAACCACTGGAGGGAAAGCTGCAATACATCACCTCCTAAAACAAACACTGAAAGCTTCTTTCATCATTGATCAAATCTGCCATCCTCGACTTCACGGGTCACCTCAATCTCTCGCGCATGCACTTCCTCAACGCCGCAGCAGCAGCAGCAACACCCCCCGCACGTCACACACAAGACATTACAGTAATGCAGTACAACACAGACAAGGCATATATCACCGGCACACACCGTGACCGTTGAGAGGTGGAACACGTTCTGGAGTGAACACAGAGAGTGGAGGAATGATATAAGGGACCGCACGATCAAGCAGCGACCGCACACGAGACGGGCACGGAGGGAACGGGGCGCTGTGCCTCTGGCCAGTTGCACGTGGTGGTGGTGGTGATGGTGGTGGTGGTGATGGTGGTGGTGGTGATGGTGGTGGTGATGCTGGTGGTGGTGATGGTGGTGGTGATGGTGGTGATGGAGGTGGTGATGGTGGTGGTGATGGTGGTGATGGTGGTGGTGGTGATGGTGGTGGTGGTGATGGTGGTGGTGATGGTGGTGATGGTGATGGTGGTGATGGTGGTGGTGGTGATGATGATGGTGGTGGTGATGGTGGTGATGGTGGTGATGGTGGTGGTGATGGTGGTGGTGATGGTGGTGGTGATGGTGGTGGTAGTGGTGGTGATGGTGGTGGTGGTGATGGTGGTGGCCGGAGGTTTGTGTCCTCGGGTGCCGTCGGGGTGAGCGGTGGCAAGGTGAACGTCGAGTGAGACACCTAGCGCCGGATGGCCAGGTGCTCCAGCTGCCCCACGTCAGAGATGTCGTAGCTGGCCTTGTACTTGGCCAGGATCTTGAGCACCGCACGCATCTTCAGCCACCACTGCTCCTTTGGAATGCGGTGCCTGACAGAATGCACGTTGCGCCGCGCCATTAATATTACTCAGCGTCTGGTTAAGAAGCAGCAGCAGCAGCAAGAGCAGCAAGAGAGGCCCAATTGCACTTAACATGTTACTTCCATTAGGCACCAACAATGAACGCAGGTTCCCAGGGCTGTGCTACATGATGGAGTGTTTCTGCTTTAATTTTCTGCATGAATCGCTACGGCGCGTTAACTGCCTTTTTTGTGCACAGATGGACAGTCCTTGCCTTGGCACAATTCCTCACCACTAATATTCTCATACACACGTGTCTGCATTCGCCTGCTCCAAATGCACGGAAATGCCCCGAGCAACAACAACAATAGCCCCCCTCCACCCCCAAGCATATCTAGCCTAAGTACAGAACTCGAGTGACCCATCTCAGAAGGCATTGGCAGTCCAATATTTGATTCATCACGAATAAAAAACATTTCCGTTATTTCAGCTCTTGGATTTCAATTGATTTGATTCTCGATTAATGAGAGTCTCACCTTAACGAACGGCAGATGAGAAGGTTTGATCAATAAGTCAAACGCAATGCCGCTAAATCTTATACTTGGTGACCCACGGTGGTGCTAGATTTACCGCCCTGGATTCCACCGCGTGATATAAAAGTGCGGAAAGAGCAGTGCAAATGCTAACCACGCAACTTTATAATTCTGCATAATTAAATTAAATGCCGAACGTAAAGTAACTGAAAGGGACATAAATCATGAGCAGAATCTAGCATCTTAGCATTCATCTGCTGCAGTTTAAAACGGACCATTTTTAACACCCTTTTCAATACCTTGCATTAATCTTTCGATTCTATGGTTGCAATTTTAAGGTTAGGCCAGCAAACTGACGTTGAGAAATTAAACGAAGCCCTGAACGTGTCAATGCGGATTCCGCGTTGACACATTCAGGATCTCGGTTTGCCGTAGAACTGACAAAACGTTGTACGTTCTTAAAACAGTCTTACCTCGTTCTGCACACCGTCGATGAATAAATCACTGAATACAAAATAACGTTTCGATTTAAAGCTTTCGTGACTGCAGGGATTCTGATTGCGAGCACCTCTTTCTAATGCTGAGCAATCTGGCTGGGTTCGGACGTAAATGATATCTATCATTATCATAGACAATGAAAATGTCCCACTTATATCACACGTTATTTTGTCTTCTTGGTTCTTTCGGTAAAGTCATGTAGAAGGGAAGTAATAAAATAATAAAAATAAAACATAATAAAATAATACAGAACAGGTCTGTCTTTCCGACAGACCTGTTCTTCACCTGAGGACGGCTGCTTGCGTTGTGGCCGAAACGTCGTGACAATTTTATTATGTTTTATTTTTATTATTTTATTATCTCCCTTCTACGTGACTTTACCGAAAGAACCAAGAAGACCAAAATAACGTGTGATATAAGTGGGACATTTTCATTGTCTATGATAATGATATTTATAATGTACGTCCAAATCCAGCCAGATTGCTCAGCAGTAGAAAGAGGTGCTCGCAATCAGAAGGCTGCGAGTTCAAGTCCAGTTTTGGGGATTGATTTAGCCCATTATCCCTCTGTTGACTTTGCGGGGAAAGTTAACAGTGCTCGTCCTACCAGAGACTTGTCTCCATCGTAGGAATGTGGAATTTCCACCAGAGGCGCTCAGGGCTGTCAACAGGCGGTAAGCACCGACTGAATGCTCATTAAGAGCACGGAAATCAATTTGGCAAATTGTCATTCCATCTTCTTCTCTCGTACGGCATGTCAAATCCAATGAGGCAGATGTACAGATGCTTCTGGACATTGAGACATTCCATTGCTGGTATTTGGTTTATTGCTATGGCCATCTCACTCTAATTTCTACTGACACCGACGCATGAAATCAAGTGACTGTGAAGACATTGGCACGTGCATGAATGTAACTATACAATTCACCCCAAGAGAATTCCATCCAGAGTTTCCAAAAAATAGCCGTGGGAAACACTAAAACGTGCATTACATTTTTGCTCATGGAAAATGTAAACGTGCAGGGACGGAACCTCGATGAGCCCCAATGTTGGAGGTGATGATGACCGAACGAATGTGTGAAGATCTCTCACTCGAAGTCGGTCTCGGACTTGAGCGTCACCAGTGGTTGAAACTCAAGGGCACGCCGGCGCATCCCGAGCAGGCAGGCCGACTCATCGGAATTCGCGAACACATGTCCTGGGGAAAAATACAAAGACAAAGATCCTCCGTATATATCTATCCTGCAACAGCCTCTTGGGACAAGTGACGTTAGCGAGCACCTATGAAGGCCGGCACGGCACACGAGAGGCGTGGGTGGCCAGCACCACGCTGTCTCCCAAGTGGCAATGTTTATACACTGCACAGGGTACTCGTTTGAGGCTGAGTCGTGTGGGATACACACACACACACGCATACACAGCACGATAGACAACCACTGCGAGCATGAGGCAAGGGTACAAGTACAGCCCTCCCACCATTACAACGCCATTTCTTACCATTTTTCATTGACCGATTTGAATGCCATTAAGTAAAAGCTGTAAAAGCTTACATTTCCCAAACATACCTGGCGGTAAGCCACATGATGCTTGTTATAGATAAATATACACAGCACGAATTCATAGCACCATCTTACAGGCTCCATCGAAGCAAATGTAGAAAGCTTTGTGATATATCATCAGCTTACATTTCCGAAAGTGCAATTTCAGTGAAATCACGTACGGCGAATCAACGCGGCAACTGAACGTCGATTCAAAAAAACCAACCAAGCCTGCAAGTCCCTTGTCAATCTACTGTTGTATTAAAATGTCACGTCATGGTTGTTTGACCATACTTCACCACACTGGTCAGTGCAAGGGCTAGTTCAGATACCACTCGCCACCGATGTTTGCTATGCCCAAGGAATTAACCCAAGTGTGCTAACCACTGCACCCAATGCTCCTCCTCCTCCCGTTTTTGTTCCGAATGGTCGTACATTTTCAGCACGAAACTTATACTCGAGACTTTGTAAATATTAACATTGCACATTTTCGGCAAGTCAAATCGTGGTGTGTTTTTAATCAACACAAATGTCAAAGTTGCTCACGCCCCACGCAGCGTACGGGCGGAAACAATATAAAACTACGTTTAACTGCGCGCCAGATTTGAGAGGTTAAGCCGCGTGAAATCCCAAAGGGCCCCGACATGCTGTGGGTAACGTACGCGAGGTGGTGTGGGAGGCATATTCATTAGCATAACATCTGGATGGAATGGTGGACACGAGCCTCACCGGGCTAATTACATTTTGATGTGAGAAATGAGTTTAAGATAAAATAAAAACCACACACGCGCGCACGCGCACACACCTATGCGACGGCTACGTTGCCTTCGGAGAAAAAAAAAAACATTACTTTAATCTAGCAATAAATTTATTCTGCATCACTTTGCGATAGCACCACGGCTGAGTTCTTGTTTCATTGTCAGAGCATTAAACCAAAAACCTTGCCGATTCTCAAGCGTTGAACTTGAGTACACAATGGCTAAATGCTTGCCTGGTGTGTGTGTGTGTGCAGCCGTGTATGAAAGTAGCCAACAGATGAACGCATCTACTGATGCATATGAAAGCCGGGACACACCTGTGTTTTTATAATTCGCCTTCTGATTTTATTCTGGCACATTATGATTATATTAACGCTTTACGCATTGTTTCTTCTCGCTATGTATATTCATTACTTCACGAGTGTTTAAACATTCGTCTTCATACACGTTTGTTTTATCTTAACTTGTGTCGAGCGCCTTGAACGTTGCAGTATGAAAGACACTCTCAAAATAAAGATTTTTATTCTTGTTATTACATGCAGGCTTGCTGCTGTGCAGCGTATCGGTCTGATCAAGTCCTAAGGCACATTTATGATTTTTTTTTTCTCCACCAACATGTAGCAGGATTTAAATGCGAGCCTTTGAAAGCGCCACGGCCACTTGGAAGATGTGAGGGGTCAACTCGGCTCATCATCATTCCCCAATGGTTGACAATAAAGCGAGTGCCGCTTTGAGCGGTTGTTCTCCAGAGAAACTGGTCAACTCACACGGGAATGTGAGATCTCCACCGTTGGCTCAGGGCTGACAATGGTTGTACACTCGTGGTGCACAGCGTGCAGGAGTAGGTGCCAAGCAAATTGCTGAAAGTCGAACTGCAGCAGCTATTCCAGAATGCCGTTGCAAAGCTGGGGAGCTGGGGGGGGGGGGTGGGGGGGCATTCTCTGGCAGATCAATGGCCGGTCGCCAATACAGTCTGTTCTCCTACAACGCAGTAGTAGTTGCCTTCCTGAAGGACACCGCGTGATGGAAAAATCGCTGTTGTTGTTAACACGCGAGATGCGTACGCACACTGAACAAAGACGTGGGTAGCATCTAGGAGCATCCAGCAGCATCCCGCCTTTGTGCTAGGCCGAGGCAGCCGCACACGACTGCTTATCGCCACTCGTGCGACGTGATTCCATTCACTCGATCGCGCTATATTTAATCCGCATCCACGTTTTTAAAAAAATTAATTCCCCAATACATTCATCGCGTTATACCCAATTCACGTTACGAAAACCACGCGTTGTAACAGGAGAACAGAATGCACCACCGAGGCACCGAGGCACCGTGGCACTTGTGTGTGTGTACCTGTGTGTGTACCCTGTGTGTGTGTGTACCTGTGTGTGTGTGTACCTGTGTGTGTGTGTACCCTGTGTGTGTGTGTACCTGTGTGTGTGTACCCGTGTGTGTGTACCCTGTGTGTGTGTGTACCCTGTGTGTGTGTGTACCTGTGTGTGTGTGTACCTGTGTGTGTGTGTACCTGTGTGTGTGTGTACCTGTGTGTGTGTGTCCCCTGTGTGTGTACCCTGTGTGTGTGTACCTGTGTGTGTGTGTACCTGTGTGTGTGTGTACCTGTGTGTGTGTGTACCTGTGTGTGTGTGTGTGTATAATGGGGCAACAATGGGGCTTGTTCTATGCGACACTGTACCCGAACCGAGCTGCGTCAATTATGCAGGTCATGACCGATCAATCTGTGTTACCCAACACAGATTGAAGATGCAAGTAGGTTGAACAAAATTAATTCAATTTACCTTTTTCTGTCTCCGTGAATGGTTAGAAAGGGAGAGAAGAAGATTGTTAGTATGAATGCAATTTCCAAGAGTATAATTTAAACATGTCAACATTGTCATACGTTAATAACCGCTCGTTAATAAGACTGCTTTGCAAAACCGCCTTGCAAAGAAACAATAACAAAAAATATATCTTATGCAACTAGTATCACCAATGCCATATTAGTGTGACAAAGTCATTCTTACATGTTGTTTTCATTTTACGTTTTAAAAAATTAGAACCCCTGGAAAATATGTTCAAGCTAAGCGGTAAAACATCAAAAATAAATACGTAAATAACACTTGACAAGTTTTAACAAAGGAGACAATGCAATGCTCTTCAAAGAATACTTCCTACAAAATGTTATAATGGAACAACAGTGCCCTCCTCATTGCTTACGAATTTAAATATTATAAGTGTGTCCATTTCAAATAGCACACCCCCGTAAATGTAAACGATTACATGCACATTCAATCAAGATGACACGTGAAAGGTTATTTCCAAAGGCAATCCATTCCTAGGGCTTTGTAAAGCATTGCATATGCTGAGGGCTGCAAGGTGCCAGGGAAAGGGAGTAACAGCAACAGATGTAGATGGGATTAGTCCACTCACTGGATCCCATCTGTCTTTTTAATTGACTGCATCTTTGCAAGGCTTTAAGTGTTGTCCACTCACTCGTGTGTGGCTTGACCCCAGTCATTCTGTTTGCCTGACACATGCACATTTAAAAATAATATTGGCCAAAAATTCCAGTCCAGGACCCTTCTGAAGGAGAGTCCTAAGAATTAGGATGACTTTTATGGTTATATCATTGGCATTCTATCTTCGGCAAGAAAGCAGCGATAGTGCTGAAAACTCTTTCACCCTCGTGGCTTCCTGTTGATCAGAATGTCTCTCTCGTACCCTGCGGTGGCGATACGTTTACTCCCTCACCTGGTATACAGGAGGTCATTGATCCCGACCCTGATGCCTATATATTTGGAGTTTGCATGTTCTCTCTCCCCGTGATCGTGTGCATTTTTCTCCTGGTCCTCCGGTCATTCCCTCCACATTTAGAAACATGCGTTTAGAGTATTTGGCTGCTATAAATGTCCTCGTGATAAGCCACTTCGTAGAGCTTTTATTTGTGACCAGGTCGCTTCTGAAAAATAGCTATATAGCTCAGTGGGCCTTACCTGGTAAAGTAAAAAAAAAATAGTTATGGTTTAGTAATGGCCTCCTTATTTCTCTGAAAGTCTCATTAGCAACGTACCGTGGCGGTAGCATTCTGTGAGCTTCTTCGTGAGCCACTGGATGGCCTTGGCAGCGATCTTCGTCCCAAAGTTCCTGTCGAACGGGGATGGAGCGCCACCCTTAAACGCACGTGGGGGGAAAAAAACAGATACATTATTACCAGTATGGATTAATGCCCTGCCCCAGACAATTAAAGGTAATAAGGAAATCGAAAAACACAATAGACTAAGGGTTTTTTTTGGTCGGCAAAATGGCACGTAATCCGTTTCCCAAATACAAGATTAAAATTAAACAAGGCAAACCATAAGTCTTCACTGTCAAGCATGTGATCACTCGATTAAATGCGATTTCATTTTTGACTCTACATCTACCACGCACATGAAAAACCATGCAAAGAATACTCACCCCGCTTGTTACGTGTCCAATGTTTAAGATAAATTAAGTTCTCCAAAAAAAATGAGGAAGCATCTTTCAGTGTGCCGTTTTTACTAATTAACATACCATCTGGTTATAATAGGGGGGGAGGGGGAACCTCATCCACCGAACAAAAAGTACGAATCAAGATGATTGAACTGCAAATGAGAGGACTCCACTTCACACAGAAATGCAAACCCGGTCGTCTTGTACGATAACACCCACGGGGGTAAAATGTCGCAGCCACGGCAGACTTTAACTCAATGTTGATTTACGAAATAACAACAATAACTGCATATTCTTGGTTCTTTCGGTAAAGTCACGTAGAAGGGAAATAATATTATTAATATGAATCCCTGCAGTCACGAAAGCTGTAAAACGAAACAATAACTGCATTTACTTCTAGATTTGAAGCTTTCGTGATACAGCAAGCGTGCTGTGACGGTTCCACCTGAAGACGGAAGCTTGTGTTGCCTCCGAAACATCGTGATTTTTATTTTATTTTTATTTTACTTTTATTAATTTAAATGTTTTACCTACGTGACTTTACCGAAAAAAACCCAAGAATATGAAACTGCGTTTACCTTATCACCCAAACAAAATTGCCTCGACATTAATTTAATTTGAAGATTATTACATTTTTTATTTATTTCTTTATTCTCTGCCCCGAGCGCGTCACCGTTTTGCCGCAGCGACGCGCCAATGCCCTCACCTGCTGCATGTGACCCAAGACGTTCTTGCGGCAGTCGAACACCCCTTTTCCCTCCTCCGAGTAGAGGTTGTAGATGAAGTCCGTCGTGTAGTTGGGGTTAGACAGCTCGTTTCTGCAAGGCGAGGAAGACGTCACCTCGTTATCGGTGAAACGTGTCGACGGAGCGCCGCACTTTTAAGCGTAGATGAAAAAAAACGAATTTCTTTAGAACTGCTCGTATGAACTTCAACATACGTACATACAAGGGACGGTGGTGTTTCATGATGGCTGTTCAATCATCTCCATAAAGCAAGTGTTTAATGGGGCTCTGCCTCTATATCCAAAATGTAAACACTGTGGGGAAATGTTCACGATAAAAGGGGATATTATACTGGGTATCGGAACACAACATGCACCTAGCTAATTATGAGTAAATGTGTTTATTTACACCAAATGCATGCTTTAAGCTCCTTGTAGATAGCTTTTTTTATACCGTTGCTCATTAAAAAACAGGCTACTGTGGCCATGACACTGGCGTACACTGGATTACAACTGCAAACGTATTGTAGGGGTGTTTTTTTGTCATTGAAGGAAGAAACTTGATATATCATGACAAACAAAAGACATCATACCACATCGATGACGCTTCCCAAAATGTAATAATCGTAAAATTAAATTAATGTCGAGGCAATTTTCACAACCAATATCGATAATTGTATTTAAGAGGAGCTAAAAACAAACCCACGTTACGTTTTAATAAAATCCGTTAAGAAGAAACAACAATTCAACATTTCTTTAGATTAAAAATAAATATAATTAAAAACCCCACTGGTTTGAAAAATTGTTGTGTGCATTTTTTTTCTTTCATTTAAACCATCATTAGGAGGGTCCCAGAGCCATTTGATGATTCAAGCTCTACGCTCCTAATTCTGGAGCGATTCCCAATGCAAAACCCTCCTTCCCGGAGGCAGATATAAATTAGTTCCAGTTGAATAAAGTATTTTCGAAAGGATTGAAGAAAAAAAACGAGCGTGTATATGTGCCAAGAATGTTTACACAATTAAAGTTGTTTTGTCTACAAGGCATTGAATCAATTTCATGCTGCTGCTGCTGCAGGTGAATAAGTTAATAATTGCCCCGAGATAAAAACAACACATAATTAGACTCTTCTGCTGTGGCACAGTCAATCACACATTATAGATTACTCAACAGAAACCCATTCATAATACATAAAGACTAGGGCAAATCCAGTAAAAAAAAATCAGCCAATGCATTAACAAGCTGAACCATTACATGACCAGTAATTTGTTAACCTGGATAAATTATTTCGTGAGGCATTATGTAAAAAAAAGAAAGCCACGTGCTGTTCTTCACAGTTCCACTCAAGCATAGCAAGCTAGAAAGTTCGCAGCACGGATGGCAGGACACACCAGAACACACCGATATATCACTGCGATACACAGGACCGTTCACCTGCGAGGCTACTTTTAGATTCCCTGTATAAAGCGAATGCGAAGACGCCCAGCAAGAATTGTAACAACTCACCACATCCATCCATTTCCTCTGAGAAAGGAGGGCAATTGTCCAAAACGTGACCTCCAAAAAAACTCTTCCTTAAAGGCCACACACAGTGGCATCGATGTATGTGTCAAGTTTTTTTTTTGCGCTTGCACATCACTGGGTTACCAAATACCCAGGAAGAATGGTGTAACATATTAACACGGAACCTCCTCAAAGAGTTAACGATTTTTATTTGAACAGGTATGGGCCACTGAGCTGTATAACTCTGTTTCAGAAGCAACCTGGCCACAAACGATAGCTCAACCAAGTGGCTGATCATATAGAAATTTATAGCAGCCAAATACTCTAAACGCACGCTTCTAAATGTGCAGGGAAAACTCAGAGAACCCATAGGAAAAAACCACGTGACCAAGGGTAGAGAAAACATGCAGACCACCAAATGTACAGCAGCAGGCGTCAGGGTTGGGATCAAACACACGAGCTCCTGCATACCAGGCGAGGGAGCTAACATCTCGCCACCACTGCGCCCAAAGAGTATGGTAATTTCCCAAAATGTTTTCAATATTCCCAGATGACAACCGCTGCTTCTTGTACAAAGCATGCCACCACGTGAACGCAAGTTCAGAATCTGTGAACTATTATTTGTCTCTTCCCACATTGACTGCCATTGCTACTGCAACACCATTCACATTGACGGAGCAATCGCCCAAAATCAGCGGCTCCACATGTAAAGCATTTGATGGAGTACCGGCATTCGATTAATAACGAGCTTGTGGCCGCTATTGAAGTATACGCAGCACTCACAGTCCCGTGTTGCTGGAAGTTATTATACAACTGCAGAGCTAATCTTAGTAGCGCCACTAAGATTTATGTTTTTGCCGACCAATTTTCATAATGCCCAGAAAACAACAAGCCATAATTACATAAGACACGAGCCCCACCAGTATTTGCCTATGCCTTGCAACATTTCAGTCAGAAATATCATTAGCAGTACCTATAGTAAACACAAAATGCAGGTTTACTTTATTTGGCCTTTAGTAATTGCATTCCAATTAGAGCTGCGACGATTATTATATTACATCAATCTTCTATCGATTCTAAACTTTTCAAAATTTTGGAGTTGATTACTTGGGCCCTTTGAAAAATGGTGATTGTCCCAACATTCGACAGAGCCCATACAAGCCAAGCCCAAAGCAACATGCCTGATGATGTCACCAAGCCCCGCCCATCACTTCCCATCCAGCGGCACATGTGGCAGACTTGAGACCTTTCCTCCAAAGTATTTTCGTCTCGTGCGATAAGTCGATCACTCGTACCAATAACCCGTACAGTGATCGATTGCTCACTGTAATCATACAAGCCAGCTCTAATTGCCATCAACAGATATGACAATAACCATAATCGCGTCGTGATCACGAACGTCTTTGAGAAAGGACGCGGCACACACAGAGAGATAATTACATGCATACATAATACGACCGAGAGTAAACCTCACCAGCATAATAATGTTTAAAGGAGAAGCTGAACATCTCACCTCAGAACAAGCCCCCGCTGAATGCCCGTCTTCATCTTCTCTGCCAAATGCTCAACGTTGGCCTGACACAGACAAGCGAGGGCATGAATATCGTGGGAAGGATTTTGCTCGGTCGGTTACGGTGGGTAACAAATAAACGGGGCAATAATGTGGCACAAAACAGATTGCTTACAAATTCGTTGGTTTGCAGCATTTACATCTTTACCTATTGATTTTAATGCTACTTGCATCCTTTACATTACCGAAACAGTGGCATGTACCTTTATTGAAGACAACCTTCACATGACACGAGTTATGTGATGGCTTTTGGATATGGGAGGAAAGATTACAATGTAATTGCACAGATTTGGCTGATGTTTCGGTGCTTCGTACAGGACACGGCTGTAATATTTTAACAGACCCGTATTCTGCTTTTTTTTCTCTGGAAGGCCCATTAACCAGAAAATTCATAACGTTTTAGCAAAAGTGGCAGAGCAGAATGAATGCTACTGTGTCTTAACTTCCGCTCGAAGACATGTAACAAATGTTCCCTTTGTAAACGCATTGTTCACTGTGTCAATGATGCGAGATGTGTTTGGCTCGTTCAGTTAATTACTTTAATGGCTGGCTGCAGTTTTTGTGTTCAGCTGCGACGGGACATTAGAAAAACCACTGTTGGACTCGAGTGGCCTCCTTACATGCAACTGTATCCAAAATCAATAGTCCACAAACTGGTGCAGAATAGATGAATCCACACGGCAAATGATGGCCCTAATAAGAAAGCGACAAACAACAGCGGGCCAACCCGAGCAGTGGATTTGCAAAACGTGGCAAAGACTAAAGAGCCGGAGAGAGAAGTGATAACCTTCCACGTCGAAGCAGCAGTGAAACAGCTGAAAACTGGTGAGTCAGCAGGAGTGTGTTTGGTATTCCTGCAGATATGTTGATAGAAGGTGGCTGACAGATGCTGAGGTAGCTGCTGCCTAATACAATCAAGGCAGCGCGGAGGAGACAGCAGAAGCCCACAGGGTTTGATAAAAGGCCATAATCATAACGTTACGTAAACGTAAAGAGAAGGGAAGTAACAGAGTGTGTTAATTCTCGCGGGATACATTCACTGAGCGTTCCAGGAAGATGCAGGGGAGGTGCTTTTCCTCGAGCTTTGCCGAATCGGATAAACACATAGATATACAAACACTTAAAGAAACCCCACTGTGGTTTTAGAGATGGGATGGGTTGCAGCAATGAGTTATGTTACCAGTTTTTTCTATAAACACTACATTTGTAGATACCGGGTCAGCAGCCGATTATGGACCTTTTAATTATTTAGATTCTACATTTAGGCCTCAACACGAGCTTAAAAAACGTTGACAGAAGTGGTTAGGAATGGGCCTCTTTAAATGTAAGTAATACGTATAATGTAGGGGGTTGTGATAAAGAGGTCAATATATAATATATATGGAATCCATATGGTAAATGATGGCGCTAAGTTAATATGTAATATATTGCATTACATGGATTTTTTTGATAAAATGCATGAACCACTTTGTGATGTCGTCAAAATGGCAGTTTGAGGCAGAGTTCATTTGTCACTCGATAGGGCAGAAAATAATTTAACAAAACAACTCGAAAATATATTTATGGCCTGTGAATATGGGTGTAAAGTGGAGGATGCTGGCCATTTCATAGCAAGACAGGCTGAAAATCTTTTCTTAACCTTATGGGTTTCAATGATGTTGGCTATAGCTGTGGACATTACATCAATGATCCTCGAGGAAGATATTCTTAGGTTTTTTTGGTAAAGTCACGTAGGTAAAAAATTAAAATTAATTTACCTACGTGACTTTACCGAAAAAACCTAAGAATATGAATCCTTGCAGTCACGAAAGCTTCAAATCTAGAATCCTCGAGGAAGAGTTTTACTTCTGCGTTTGAAAAAGTCTCGTACACTTAAATATATCTGATACACTTAAATATATCCGACTGCAAGCAGGCCATTGCGTTACATTTTGCTGCACACAAAAGCGGCCGGCTTTGACCAGGAGTCAAATTGAACACAATTTCATCTTCTCTTTGAAACAAAATGTCCACACAAGGTGAATGCAGTCAAATTGTTGTTGGCCCACAGGTGACAGAAGCTACAAAATTCTCGGTGGACCCAGCTTGAGTAACCACCCGGGGGACGCGAGTGGATGGTGCACGATGGATGAGCGACTGCCATCGCACGATTTAAAGCTTTCGTGACTGCAGGGATTCATCTTCTTGGTTCTTTCGGTAAAGTCACGTAGAAGGAAAATAATAAAATAATAAAAATAAAACATAATAAAATAATTCTCACGACGTTTCGGCTACAACGCAAGCAGCCGTCTTCAGGTGGAGAACATTCAGACTCTGTCTGACTTTACCGAAAGAACCAAGAAGATGCCATTGCACGATCGCAGTGGACGCTGTGGGAAGTAGAGGGCAGTGCAGCCAAATCCATTTCTGTTTTGCACTCCACCCCTCGATCCGCATTGACCGGAGTGGTGAAGTGTGGGCACATAACCCTCACCCACCGTGAATATAAGAAAATATGAAACGTAACTACGGTTGAGTATGTCCTATTCAAGGTACATAAAAACCAAGGCCAGTTTTCTGAACAAAACATAGCCCCAGCAATTATAAGTAGCAAAATTTATTTATTTAAATTGACACATTGCCATTGATGCTGGTTTCTGTTGAGCATTAAACGGGCGTACAATGGATGTTTGTGTGTGTTTAGCACAATGGCTTGGCTAACATGCAATATGCGTGACAGGACTTGCCACTAAAACTTACCTTCACATACACGAAAGTGGCACTTGCTAGATTCAGCGGGAACGTGCGGTGATGTGCAGTGCAGTAATAGGATATGATCATTGCTTGCCCACATTCAAAGATCAAGTCCCTCAGTTGATTCCAATCATTCCCATAATGCAAAAACCTAGGCCTAATTGGGCACATTTCCTTATTTGGCAGGAATCCTTGATTGGTTTCATGAATAAACCCATGGTTTTTTTTTTTACTCCAACACTTTCAACCCACTTGATTAAATAAAATGCAATTTCGGCATTTTTACATTTAATCCCTGCATGTCATTCACCCTGATCCTAACCACAAATCAACGGTTAAATACAGTGGAATACATTTTTGTCTCACGCTATTGGTCAGAATTTAACACGATGCACAATTGCTTGGTCTGCGTACCCTCCCCGCCAAGGCTAGACTCCACGTATAATTTTTTCAAATCAACCCCGAAATCGGGATTGATTACAAAATGCAAGAAGCCACTCGGCATTTCCCATGAATCATTCTTCTTTTGCACGCCGCCACTTCTCATGCGGCACACTCCTACCACTCGCGCAGAGGAAGCGCGACCACTATCGTTCGTCAAAAAACTGCGATTGGACCACAGAGTAGCACGCGACCTCGGTGGGCCTGAACCCGAGGCGTGGTTAGCTGCCCTCCGATAAGAGCCATTGGAGCGGCACCCCCCTCTCCCTGCCTCGGGACACGGAGCGCTGCTACCTCCAGATCCCGGATGTCGAAGGGCTCCTCGTAGATGTAAGCGGCGTCAGCTCCGGCCGCCAGACCTCCCATGTTGGCCAGATATCCGCAGTATCCGCCCATCGTCTCGATGATGAACACGCGACGCTTGGTGCCGCTGGCCGATTGCTTGATGCGATCGCACGTCTGGCGGGAACGGGAGGGGGTTGAAACGCTCAGCGGCTTTGCGACGATTGTTGGAGTTTCAGCCCCCCGCCGAGTGCATTTATTTCACGAAGCAAGAGTCTTCCCTTCAAAAGCTTTTCTCTGGAAAGGCCATTGCCCAGAATGTTCACCTCCTATATTACTTATAATGCACCATAGATTATGTTATTTATGTCTGTACACAAACGTCCTTTTACATTTTACATTAACATTGTTCATTACATTTTGGGATTATAGAGATTTGCCCTCGTTCAGTACAAATGCAAAATATATCCTGACATTTTTTTCCACCAGTCCCTATGCATAGATTTCATATTGTTTGGGTCAGTATTTCAAAATATAATCCACCTATGAGTAATGTACAGATCTGTTAAAATTATATTATAGACATATACACTCAAAAGGTTACCACACTTTTAAAAGTGCATCACATTAATTTTTTGTTACATTTCGATATTACACATCAACCAAATAGACACAATTTCAACTGAGAAAATGGGTACAAACTTAGCAATCGTTGGAAGGACGTTATCAACCAGTTTAAGTCATAACTGGCTGTGATGTTCCCATCCTGCCACCTTCCGATGTTAGTTGTTAATTTTCGGCTCTCCGATTTTACATTAACAGGTTCAATTGCTCACACCGACACAGCCACCTTCACGCGCCCACCTCGGCGTGGCGACGGCTCTGCGATCTTACATTAACCTGCTAATCTCTCACGTTAAGCTGCTAATCTCTCACGTTAACCTGCTAATCTCTCATGTTAACATGCTAATCTCTCACGTTAACCTGCTAATCTCTCACGTTAACATGCTAATCTCTCACATTAACATGCTAATCTCTCACATTAACATAGACACCTCAGCGCACTCGCCGTGGAGGCCGCTCACCGATCTTACATGAACATGCTGATTTTTACATGGCAGCCCTTTAATTGGTGGAAACCCACCACCATCGCGGTCACTGCCCATCACTTACATTAACAATAGCTGCTCATCCCCATGCTGCTGACATTTGGGCTATGCCCATTTTAAACCTTTATAAACAGTTTGCCTTTAGAAGCTAACCCCCTTTTCCTGATGACGAACGCTTGTGTTGCCATCGAAACGTCATAGTTTTTTTTTTATTTTCTTTGAACCTATCTACGTGACTTTACCGAAAGACCCAAATAATATGGCTAATTTTTTATTTTAAATCCTAATTGTATCAAAATTGTGGCATTAACATTGGGTCATGAAACAAACAAGTTTTAATTTAAAACACTCAGAGAAGCACCAATATCTGAGACCATCCTGTGAAACATTACATCACAGAACTACTACTTCTAAATTCCCTTTAACCACCCCTTAACCACTCTTGTCATGAATCTTGTTACAGCCCAGCTACGGCAGTGTTCATTGCATAGCAATCTAACGGCAATGATTAATTCTCAATGTTTGTGTTTGGCCGAATTGAAAAAAAAGAGAACGAAAATAAAAACAACCTCGCTGCGATCGACGTTATTGCGCGCACACTCGCGGGTGACCAAGCCGAGACGATCGAAGCGCTATTCACTCGACCGCCCGGTTTAATCACGGACGCGTGGTGGCCCTTGCCAGGATTGAAGCCAGGCCCTCAGCGGGACGGACGGACCGGGGGGGGCTCGCTGTCCTGACATCGAGCTATCGTCCACCGCAGCCAACACCACCCATCGACAAAGACCAACTTCTAAAACTACTTTTTTTTTCAGTGTATAATGTTTAAAAGCATTTCAAGTAACAAACCAATGTAAACCACTTTAAGTGGACAATCTTTAACATGGATTATAAAACAAAAACGAATCCCACATCAAGGGACATTGTTAGCCATGATTGCAGTTCCAAACCCGTGTGCATTAACTACATTTATAAATGAACCCATTTAACAACAAGAATAAATCTTACCTTGGCATTCAATATCCAACTTCATGGTGAAATTGAACTCATAGAGGATAAATTGCACTAATGCAGTGCCGCTATAAATGACCAAAACAAATGGGCACTTAGCATTTCATTATACTTATTCCATTTATGCTTTTTTCCCCAGATGAGAGTGAGTGATCATTTATTTTATGCCCACTCCATTTAAAGGTTTATGAATGCAATTTAGTCCTAGAGTGGTAAATTGCGAGTTCAACCGAATACGAAACTTTGTGACACATAAGCAATTATGTAATGCATGGCTACATGCACTCAGATGTGTTTCACGGTCCAAAACGCATCCTGCGAAGGACGTCTGAAAAAAATTACTTTGGATTAAACTAAAATTACTTTTATATTATAGCAAATTGAGTACAGAAATCTTTTCAATACTCTAATGCTCAATCAGCATTTACTTGTGCTTCAACTATCAGAGTGTGCAGAAAGACACGCCCAGTTACGTAGGCCTCACAATCACACTATGCAAAACAAGTTGCCTGAAACGCAGTCGTGAAATTTTACTTAAAAACGTAACAAAAAATATTCACCCGCGTAATTGTGGAGAATATAAAGCAACAAAAATAAATACAACAGCCGATTCATCTCCATATATCCATCCCTTCGCTTATTTTTTTTTCTCATATCCCATCAGCCACATTTGAATTGCATTCAGAGAGGATTTCCATGATGAATCACATCTTCAATTTTTATTTAGTAACTCGCGCGATACCGCAGATGCACACGACTCGTCTCCGGCAACAGCGTGATGGCGGACAGGCACGGTGCGCTCGCAATGGGACAACGAGCCCGCTGGGAAAACACGGCCCCTGAAGAAACGAAGGAGGGGGGAGGGGGGAGCGAGCGCTTGGAGGCAGCGCACGGCGGTCGCGGGGAGTACCTGCACAATGGCGTTGAGGCCTGTGTCTGTACCCAGGCTGAGGTCGGAACCCGGCACGTTGTTGCTGATGGTGGCGGGCAGCATGCAGATGGGAATGCAAAACTCTTCATATTTACCTCTCGCCTCTTGGAGCTGAATGGCCCCTTCAAATGCCTACAGCGTGGCACATGCACACACTAATGGCTTCAGTGTGCCAAGTAATCACAGCTCTTAGCCAGATATCAACACGTTGGAGGTCATGTGTTTTTTTTTTCATTACAAAGCAAAACTGTGATTAGCATTAATAATAATGTGACGTATACGTGCAGGATGAATACAATTAATTCTACTTCATGGGACAACAATAGTGGTTGACCTGCGCACGGGAATCTCCGCCACTGGCTTAGTTCGGCCACTCAGGAAGATGGGTAGCGTACCAAGCCACACTCGTCTGAGCAAGGGGACACTGGCTTGGATTATGATATCGATTTGTCATTTACTAACTTGATTTTGTGCTTAAAATGACATGACAATAACTTCTTGCCCTAAAATTCTATTTGTACAGTTATTGGAACATGACACACACACACACACGCGCGTTTAAACGCAAGGTTTTGGTCTGGCTAAGACCCGTCACTGTGCAATAAAAAATCAATGGGCTGCATCACCGTCACACATCTAGAAAAAGCGGAATGGAGAAGCAGGGAAATAGTACAAATGCAATCCACCATCCATCTGAATAAAAAACCTTTAACTAGGATAGTCCACTGCAGAAGTGAAGGGAAGACAAGTGGTTGGATAGGATAAAAATGGATGTTTAGTAATATAATCTCTTTGGACGTAGAATCCGCGGATTTTAATGACAGTGTGTGTTTGCGCACAGAGAAAGCATTTGTCATGAACAAGCGATGGGTGCATTTCCCCAAACAAATGATATTGTCCAACACGTTGCCAATAACCCACATGGCTCCTCCATCCTGTACAAGTGCCCCATCCATCCCAACCTCCTCTTCTTCACAATGTCTAACAAACAAAACCCTGTTGCCACATTCTATTCTAAACCTCCAAGTTACTTGCACTTTTCTGCCATGAAATTCCGAGCGTGATCCACACGACGATGCAACTGCGCTGTTTAATCTTAAGCTGCTTTCTTGTAAAGCAATATAAAATCTTGCATTAATTTACAAGCCCATGGCAAACGATACGGGCGTTAACACTCAAATTCAGCAAATCACGCTTTCATTAGTTTATTGGCGGAGCAGTCTTGAAAGCTTGGTATTGCACATTCTATTCACGAAACGCACTTAGACCTGGCTTAGCGCTCAAGATGCGTTCCTGGAGAAGCGAGCGCTAATCGAATCAGCGCTAAAGGGGTCATGATACCGTTGTACTGTATTTGTGTGATCATTCAGGTTAATAATATAACTAATGTGTCTCGTTACACTAAGGGTCCTGTGACACAACTTTCACCCTCATCAGATTACAGCTGTGCACCGCTGCAGTTTTCATTACACATTAAATCATATTCAACAGTTTGGCTTCTTTCCCAATCAGTGAGAGGATAATGAGAGTCCGCAAAGATATTTTTGTTTATATTCAAAAATAAAATAACAGTATAAAAAAACAAACACAGCGTGGTGGATTGCATTTGGCAATGAAGGCGGGAGGAAAAAAAGACCAGAGCAAGACGGGGGAGGCGCAGGAGGTGAGAAGAAGGTTTCCCAGGCCGATACTCACGAAGCGAGGCTGGTCGCAGGATTTGCTTTCGCAGAGGAACGGATGGCCTTGGTCTCAGGTCACTTACCGAGATTATTGTGGAACGGAACCCAGCGTTGATCGTCTTCAGCCGAATGCAATGAAACGAGTGAACGTCGGCATTGTGTGTGTGTGTGTCTTTGCGGTAGTATAGCGGTTGGCGTGCAGAGCGCTCTACGAACCCGGTGATGCATACGTATATCCGATGATATACATCATTGCAACTGAACTGGAAGAAAAACTAAAATAAAATAACTTAATCGGTACCAAGGCTCGCTTAGGGCCATGCGGGAGGGCGTGTGGCACAGTTTGGCATCAACGATCATAGAGTGTGCGGTAGTGTTGCTACAGTACTCTGTGGTGAGTACAAAGTCTTTAAAAACAACAATGCTACGCCGCTCTTAATCAAATTAAAGCCAAACCGCTTGCGCGTTTCGAGATTCAGCGGTGAACAAGACACCCAGCCTGCAACTTGCAGACGTCTCGGAACGGGAAAAGGTTAATTGGCGGTTGGAATTTGCGCTGGCTCGTATGCTTTAATGGCATCGTAGTCGCATTTAAGTGCGTGCTCATTGGCCACGCTACTGCTTGCACTAATGCGCCTGCGATGCATGCCAAATAGACGTACGTTTGTTGAACTTCTTTCGCACCGTATGTAGCCAACCGCATTAAATGCAGGGGCGAGGGAAAGACAACAAAAACGAAACACAAAAATGAGTTCTAAAGAAATTTGTTTTGAATTTGGATTTAAAAGTATTTAGCTCCAGTGGCTTCCTAATATCTGAAGAGTGTTCCAGACGGCCACCAAAGTGCATCTCAAAGTAGCGATGCGGGCTCCGTCTTTCGTTCGATGGTTAGCCAACAGCCGCTGCGAGGATGACCGGAGTTCGTGTGATGGCTTATGCTCCTTGTGGTCTATTTGCAGCAAGAGCTTTGTGTGCAATGAGCGCGACCTTAATGAGCGGTAGGCCTCCACAGGCGAGGTCCAAACATCAACCGCGATGCTTCCAAACGAACGGCGGTGTGGCACTCACGTCGGTGATGGTATTGAGCGCCGTGTCGGCCCCCACGCTAAAGTCGCTGCCAGGGCACATTGTTAGACACGGTGGCGGGCACCACCACCATGGGGATGCAGAACGCCGGGTGTGAGTCGCGCGCCTCCACCAGCTCCAGGCCGCTGAGGAAAGCCTGATGCCGCGACGGCAGGCGGTGGCGGCAGCGGAAAAAGGCAGGGCGCACACGGCCCGAGAGACAGAGAGAGGAAGCGTGGCAGAGCGAGAATGCAGAACAAGAGGTAGTGGAGCAGAAGGGCCTGGCACTGACACGCAGACGCAAAGGGGCACACTTGGTCATTTTTTTTTGTCGACTGTTTCGTAACGGGATGATTGTGTGCAGCGCTGCAACCCTCGGGAGCACGCGGCAGTTTCAATTAATTTACCATTCACAATTTACCATTACATGACAAATTGAGGGATGTTGTTGAAAAATAATCAAATCCAAATTTTCCTACACGGCAGATGACTCCAGCGGGTGAGTGAGTCATCGAGCAAAGCCTGCGTCAGTGCGATCCCATTTGAATGGGTTAGCAACAGTGTTAGTTTTAAAGTTTCAAGAGAAAGAATTGTGCAAAAGAAGCATAAACAAGACATCTAAGAAAAGGGTTAAGAGATTGGCCTTGCTATAAAACCAAAGCACAAATTCAGAGAGGAATACGATTAACTTATTATACTATAATATACAATTGCGACGATAATTATGCATGATGACAATCCACTCACATGATCAAAACCAATCATATTTGCAAATGGCAGTATTTTGGGGAAAACTCACCTCAAACCCACCAATAATGAGCAATGCGTTAACATTGTGTTCACGGATCTTTTCAGCGATTTGATCAAAATACTTGCTTGGGAGAGTCCTGTGCACAGAAGCCAGAAAAATACTATAATCAATACAAGAGCATCATTATTTGGCCAAATCCTGTATCTAATACATTATCATATGCCTTGTGCTAAATTATCTGGAATAAACCTGATCTCAACAAATCTCAGAAGCCTGGAAAGTTCATGGATGGGTGACTACCATGCATAACAGGTATTATAGGGCTCCTGCTTCTGCGGAGCTACTTTGTTATAACAGAAGGCAGTGGAGAAAAATCCATCACTGTATACAATACACACGGCAACGTACCGCTTTGTTCCGAGTAAGGATCCACCCTGGCCCGTCCAGCCTCCAACATCTCTCCACTTAATTTCTTTTATCTGAAGAACAAGAAAATAGCGGAAACACTTTGTCGAGTATTTTTTTGGAAGAAAGTAGAAATTATTGTATGATTAATTAAATTTCCATTCCAGACCGGAAATGTTTATCCTGCACCCAAACAAATCTATACGAGGTACATGTGTTCAGATATTCGGAACTCAAATAATATAATGAACATGTAACTATATAGGGCGAGGGTTGGTGCAGTGGCATGGTAGCTAGCACACTGCACTAGTTCCTGAAGAAGCTGCTGCCAATACGTGGAGCGAAACGACGGACAGCCATGCCAAACAATACACAGTACGACCCGACAGCAAATCGCAGTGCTGCAGAGCGCAACTGCAAAAACCTACGCAGAGGGATTAGCAGGGAGTAGTTTCATCACGTGCATAGGGGCGGTGGCTTGGCCTAGTCGTAGCGCGCTCGCCGCCTATTGCAAAGGTTCACACGGTTCGAATTCAGCAGCCACCGTGGTTTAAATCGCAGCCCAGTGTTAACCACAGAAATATTGCGCGCCATCTGCTTCACAGTGGACATTAAGGATGGTGTGAGTTCATTCGCAAGGGTAGGCCATTGTGTGCCTGAAAATTTACCCCGCGAAAATCACTCAACTGGGATTACACACAGCATTGATCGCTGCGCTACTGCGAAAACGTGTCAGGACCCTCCGGAACAAAAAAAAACCAGTCATCGGACGCCGCAAAGATTTCTGGGTAAAGAAGTGCAATAAAACATATATATATAAATATACGGCACGTCTCGGGGGTCCACAATGAAGAGTATATTTGAGCCTGGATAAAAAGGAAGGTCAGGCGAAAGGGTGCTGGTACTTCGGGCCATGAAGAAAAAAACCAGACACATATGTAGGATGGACAACAACAGGAAAATTAAAGTGTGGTGTTGTTCGGATAAAATGTAAGGAACCGGAAAGAGAGGAAGACCTTACACAGAATGGCTTGACGACGAAATCACGAGAGATTGGTGCCAGAAAGATGTGGCCACTACTTGAGCACATTGGCACAAGACAGAGGAAAGTGGTAACAAATTAGGAAATGTTCAGTGTACACCTACGGGCTATTTGCCCATGGATCGTGATGATGATGACGATGATGACGATGATGATATGGCGCGTCACTTTTGGAGGAGCGGGTTGTTACCTGGCCCTTGGCAAAGCCCTCGAAGCCGTCGTTCACGGCCAGGATGTTGTGCCCCTCCGTGATGCCCACACGCACGGCCGAGCGCACGGCTGCGTTCATCCCAGCCGCTGGGGCGCCCACGTTGAGCACCGCGATCGTGAACTGGGTCTACTCCCCACCAGCACCACAGACGCAACAACACTCAGCAGTTAAGAGCAGGAGGGCACTGCCCAAGCAACGTCCACAATGTTAGCTTTCCAGTTTCCCGACTTCTGGACCAGACCAAAAGAAATACAATCCCAATTACCGGTAGCCGAAGCAGCAGACCACAATGTAATGCACGCAAGGAATTTCTGTTCTTGTAAATATGAGTGTGCAGTGTCTGAACAGATTGTTGTCACGTGATTATCAACATAAAAAATGAATGTTGACATTTACTGAATGGTTAAAATTTTTTGGGGTGACAGGACAAATATTCACGTTCATGTATATCAGGATTTTAATCAATACTCCGCGTCAAAGATGATCGGGCAGATTGTATAGCCCTTTAATATTAGTGGTCAATTAATTTTTACGGCAGAATTTTTTTTTTTTTAAACAATATATACACTACTTTTTGAAGTGTAAAAAAATCATTCTAGATTTGAAGTTTTCGTGACTACAAGAATCCATACTCTTTGGAAAAAAAAATTACGTTTACTGAATAGTCCGAAACGTCTATTTATTTATTATTTTTAGTTTTAATTTTATTTTTATTTTTTCACCGAAAGAACCAAAGAGTATGTAAAAAAACAACCCATAGAAATATGACCCATAAAAAATAACCCAAGAAAATGATCCCCACGAACACTCCAGCAGTGTTGACTCTCACTGGAGCATTACGATTGAGGTCATATCACATAAAAGATAATTACTAAAATAATTAAAATACGATTCTGATCGGCTTACAGGTCTCAGATTTTGGCGCTTAGCCTTTGATACATCTGGGATCACATCCAATTGGCTCCGAGCCACATTTAGGGTTTCATTTAACCCAACGTGATTGGACACCTGAACTTGCACCCTTTACCAATATGGTTTAATCGATTTACAACTTCAGGTTGCACGTCAAGACCAGTTTTGTGAATGGTGAGTAATTAATATGGGATTTTCACGATAACACAAAACTGGCATATATAGTCCATCGCTTATAACAGTCCGTGTAATACGCATGGTAATAAGACGCTGTCGAGACTTAGTTTCTACATCCACTTTAAAGTATTTCGTTTTGGTCTGGTCCATTAATATAAGAGCCACCGAGGTTTTAAAAACGGCAAAAACCGAGCAAAGCAGAAGAGAGACCACCCAAAGACAAGAAATAAACCCATCTCTTAGATCCCACAGGAGGAAACACCTTTCTACACATTGAGTAAACTGTGAGTGACACCAACAAACATTTCATAAAACCATATCAAGCAAAAAGAATGCTATACCTAAACAAAAGAAGTCAACCACTTATTTTCCCTTCCATTGTATTTACAGTCTCTACGTTATGTTCTGGAGTTGCATGGAAATTAATTCTTTACACGCTGATACCCTCTTCCATTTGCTCTTCTGATTGATTGGCAGGCTACTTTGGCAGTGGAGTCAATTTAGAATGTGGCACTGCCCCAAACGAACACCATCGGTAAAAGGCAATGTCGTCTATGCAGGGATCCTTCACTTGCGAGTCTCAAAGCCAACAAGTATGACATTGACACCGTGTGAGTTGTATAGGGGCAGCCACCCCCCACTGCAGCACTTTCACAGAGCTAAACAGCTCACGGATAAACAACTCTGGGATTGCAGTGCATCTCCTCACGGTGCAATCATCCATTTGCCAAACTGGGAGTCGAAAAGTGTATGAAACTGTAAATGCTCGGTATATTTTCCTTCAGGTGTGTGAGAAGATGGGTCACGGGTGCCAGCTAATGGCAGAGTAATGAGGATTTGGCAATTTGCTCATCAAGATACCATTCATCTTGCCTAACTCTGAGAGATTTGCAGACAAGGAGCAATGGATACCTTCATTGATGCCGGCACGTAATCATTTATAACAGTGCTATTGCCCGCATTGATTGATTTCTTATTTATCCAGGTAATAGACCATTGAGATCCATTATATCTATGCATGGAAGACTGTGCCTTGAAATATAAAACGATGGTTAGGGGATGGATATGGACTAAGACAAGTGCACAGCGGCCTATATTGGCAAATTATGGTGCTCCAGGCTTTGCAACATGTTACAGGATATTCTTTGGTTCTTTCGGTAAAGTTACGTAGATAGAAAAATAACAATAAAAAATGAAGTGAATAAAAATAATTAAAATAAACTAAAAAAATAATATAAAACAAAAAACACTAATGTAGACTGTAGCCTGGTTCTTATTCGGAGTGAGTGTACTGGCAATCTATAATATAGACTGTAGCCTGGTTATTAAGTTTGGTGAGTGTACTTGTAGTCTATAATGTAGACTGTAGCCTGGTTATTAAGCTGGGTGAGTGTACTGGCAGTCTCCGATTAAGAACCAGGCTACAGTCTACATTAGCGTTGTTTTGTTTTATATTTTTTATTTTATTTTTAGTATTTTTATTCACTTCATTTTGTATTATTATTTTAATTTTAACATGTTAAAGAAGTGCTGCAAATGAACGGTTCCAATGATGCACAAATCAACAGGACATTGAATACCAAAACCCAAAACCAAATCAAATAACAAGAGCATTGAAGCTGCCCAAGTAATTAAAACGATCAAAATACCGTACATTGCGGGAGTAACTGATAAACTAGCCAGATGTTTGAAAAAACCCGAGTCAGATTTGGCACGGTACATAAAATATAGAATTTAATATCTGGTACAAAAGATGTATTACCGAAGCGATCAACAGAACGTGTGTACAGGATTAACTGCACGTGTGGTAAATGTTTTGTTTGGCAAACTGGACGAATGATCAGCACGAGACGAAAAGAACATTGGAGAAATATTAAATTCTCACAAATGCAACTGTCAGCAGTAGCAAAACACGCGTGCCAAAAAGGACACTCAATTGATTTTGATAATGTTGAAGGTTTGTGCAAAACTAGCTACCACTGGCCAAGACTGATTAGAGAATCTTTCGAAATTTAAAGGAATCAAAATAACTCTAACCGTTCGGATTGCTACCGTCTTAGTGCTGCGTGGAAGCGAATCATAAAATAAAACATTATTTAAATGCATGCCTACAAAGGGCAGCGTATTTCAATCGGGATTACCGTTGGTAGGGCTATTTTAATAAACACAATAGACAGGAAGGACAAGTTCAAAGGGCTCGCATAATGCACATACATAATGTACGTTGCCTCAGTAATCCCCCCCCCCCACACACATTGTGCAAGAGCGCAGAAGGGTGGTCAACACATCTACGCCTCTATATAAGGAAAGAAACAGTAAGACTTCTCCACAAATCTAGCTGTCGCCTGATGAAGCTAGTTGTAATTACTGGCGAAACGTCGTACTCAGTTTGTAAATGTTGTGGCTTGGCTCTCTAACACATCGTTTAGTGCTGTGCTAGTATAATACACTACACTATACACTACACTGGTGTGCTGTACTAGTGACGAATTGGCACATTCTATTTACGTGATAACCCTTACTAGTTGACTGTGTCGGGTGGTGGCGGGTTTTAATGACACATTTATATATTTACGCGATCTAACCCAAAAACCTCGATTATTGTACCACGTGTTATTATTTGTTTGCCTCGTGGCTGACGGCTAACAGCTTTAACAGATCTTCTTGGTTCTTTCGGTAAAGTCACGTAGAAGGGAAATAATAAAATAAAATTATCGTAAAGACAGCCCTGTTCTTCACCTGAGGACGGCTGCTTGCGTTGTGGCCAAAACGTCATGAGAATTGCATTTTAATATGTTTTATTTTTATTATTTCCCTTCTACGTGACTTTACCGAAAGAACCAAGAAGATGAATCCCTGCAGTCACGAAAGCTTTAAATCGAAGCTTTAACAGAATTGACACACGACCGCGTAAATGACATGCCAAAAGTTCACGTTGTTGGAAAGAGGTTAGTGCCTCTTGCATTCGGTAAAGAGATCAAATACTGGCATTGCTTTAGCCGATTTTTCTGGACAAATCCACTGCAGTTATATCCACTCACGGGAACTACAGGACAAAAGCACCATATCCCCACCGCTCCCAACTCCACCACCACCTGCCTCACACGTGCACCGACTTAGCAGCCGAACTGCAGCAGAATTCCCAGTCGCGTTAGAAGAAATCATTAGCAACACAAGTTAACTGCAGTGCGGCACCAAGCACAGACGCAGCCGAGATAATGCTAAGTGAGCCGTGCATGCTAGCCTGCCAAGTGCCAACGTTATCCGCCACACAGTCTACTCGGGCATACGGGCGCCAGCATGCGTTCAAGTCGGTTGGCGGCGTTATTGTGCATCCCCTCGGGAAAAAGCTTTCCGCATAAATCTGCGCCGAACAGCGCTTGGTCTGAACGCAGAACTGCCAGCGGTGCAAGCAGAGGAGAATGCCGGTGGACTGCATTTGGCTTCTTAACTGTTTAATTACCCCCACGTTATGCTCTTCGCATTGTTAATGCTAAACAATGCTTAATTGTTCCATTTTAAAAAAACAGGATATAAGAACGAGACAAAAAGCAGTAATGTGTACAAATTAATCACTAAGAGGTTCAATATTATTATATCAAGCAATTAACTGCAGTGTATTTTTTTCTAACACGTAAATTAAAGGGTCATAAAAGCACGGCAAGCACATTCATGCCGAAAGCAGTTAGTGGCAGTTAGAAACCAGAGGAAATAGCAAAACTCAGTCTGCCCGCTTTAACAAGAGCTTAATGAGAGTCATGGGCAAGAGGCCTTGGCACATCAGCTGTAGAATTCCCAAAGCACAATATCCCACGGCGCAGCACCATTTCAGTGCGTACACTTGAAGCTTGCCTCAGTCATTGAAAACATCCATCCTGAAAATTTTCAATTTACAGCTAAGAGAAACAAGCTGCTTTCAACAGCATACCATTATGTCAAATTGGGCATTTCAACATTCATGTGGAAAACCGATAGATTTAAATGAGCATTAAATTTGCATTCATAATGTGGTACTTTCCAAGCAATCCAAACTCTGTCTCCACCGTATTTATAAACTCACAGCGCTGCAGGTTCGAACAAAAGCCATACGCAAAAAAGCGGTGTGAAATTGACGCTGAAATTGGGCATTTGTGGAAATTATGAACTTTTTGATTGTTCGATTCAGTTTTGCTCTAAAAATGAAGACCAACATTATTTGTTTTAAGGGAAGTGTTTGGAGCAAGACCATTCAGCAATACTTCAAAAGCACGCACATCGTTAAGCGCTAGTGCAGGCCATAAAAACGACACACAAGCCAAGGTACATACTCTATTACTGCCATCCTGTTCGAGTCCCAGGCCACAATCACAACGGGTAGGAGAAAGTAAAATGTCAAAAATCACGACAATCATAATAATAATGATCAAAGTTTTGGAAATTAACACATCATTGTAAACAATTGATTTTTGTATGTAATAAAAAAAGAATACTAAATCATAATATGATTCGGGTTAAGCATATGATGCGATTCAGATCATTAAGCAACATGAGGGTAAAAACAGAACTGGAATTTACAACTGAGAAACAATCCAGCGCAGTTGAATCGACTGACCTTTGGGTACGCAGAATCGACCTTTTTATTGGCCAGAAGTTTGTAAGTGTTCAAGTTATTTTCAAAACTCCTGCAGGCAGTTGTCAAAAAAATTAAAATGGAAAACATCATTGCATTCAACAGACGATTCCAGGCAGTGCATGTCATTAGCCAGCATCAGTAAAAACATCTCAACACAGGCGAGAGGAAGTTGCACAAGCAAACAGCAGGCCGATGCAGAAGCTGGTCGCTTACCGTCCGCGGAGTTTTACCGCGTCCGCAAACCGCCGCTCATCCATGGCCTTCTGAACCTCCTGTGTCTGAGGAGCACAAAGACAACACCGCGCTTTATTCTCCGCCGCGCAATTGTCCCAAAGCTGGGCTCCTTTCCGAGTCATCGATTTACTCAGCCGACTATCGGTTCCGTTGCACGGTTAGTCGCATAACAAGAAACTAGATTATTTACTATTTAAATTTGATCGGATAAGGCCCACTGAGATAACTACCTCGCCTAGTGTAAGGAGGACATGGGTTCGATCCCGACCCTGACGATGCCTGTATATTTGGAGTTTGCGTGTTCTCCCCATGGGCGGGTGGATTCGTCTCCGGGTTCTCTGGTTTTTCACTCCACATTTAGAAGCGTGCGTTTAGAGTATTTGACTGATATAAATTTCCACGTGATAAGCCACTTCGTTGACCTGTCATTTGTGGCCAGGTCGCCTCTGAAAAAAGAGCCAATAGCTCAGTAGGCTTGACCTGGTAGATAAAATTAAAAAAAATTACGAATGCATTTATTTTGAAATTCAGTAATGCCAGTTATCTGAGAGTTATACTTATGGCTCACCAAATTTTCCCAAGTACATAAAACAATGATACAAGCAATAACAACACTCTTTTGCAGAGGTACTCACCCGTCACTGGCAGAGTATTCTAAGTTGATCATGGAGAAGTAAGGGAGCCCGTCTAAATCACGACGACGAATGTTTGCAATTGAGGCTCTGCTAGCGCCACGACTCGGCAGCATCCTGAAGCGCAAGGCCAAGATGCCGGATGGCTGTCGGGATTTTTTCCGGATACGTCCAGGAAGATTTCTATTGCCGTCCATGACAGATGCCTGCTTAACAGAGCACTCCGGATGGCAAAGTGCCGGTGTAACAGGCTAAAATCACCACCTGCCCCGATTAAACCCGGGTATAGTTTGGCCTAGTCCAGAGTATACCCGGGGGGATAAAGTGTCCTAGGCTAAACTATACCCCCCGGGGGTTTAAACTAGACTGGGCCAGACCATACCTTTCCAGGCCAGAATATTCCCCATGTGAAAGTTCAAACGAACTTCAATCGATATCTAAAAAGCGTATAAATGGAAGTAAGAATCTCAATGTGATCAATTGAAGCATTTTTAGGGTTAGGGTTATTATTGAAGTTTTTCTGGTTGAAGCAATCAAAGTCTATGTGTTTACAGTTTTGAATAAAATGTTGGAAAAATTTAGTAATTTATGTGTATATCGCTCAACACTATTGCTATCATGGGGGTATGATTTGGCCTAGAGGGGCATAATATGGCCTAGGCCATAATATACCCCAGAGTATAAATTGGCCTAGGCCATAATATACCCGGGTATAATCTAGCCTAGGCCGTTTTAACCCCGGGTATACTACGGCCTGTTACACCGGATTAACAGACCTTTTGCCGCACACAAGGTACTTCACAAAGGCTTCTGTATCCATATTATATTATTCTCATTTACTTCCAGTGGAGGCACCGCCCATCACCCCCCCCCCCCTCACCAATTGCACACACTCCATGAGCGGCAGGCGGATGGACTGGTTGCCCGACAGCGACACGACGCAGGCAGGGGTCTCCGGGGTCGCCTCCAGCAGAGCCAGCACCGCCTCTACTCCCATGCGACTTGCCTGCACCCCCACACACACATTCATGCCTTAGCCCTGCCCGTTCAGCCACCATTGGGCAGTCCCTCCAGAAAAACGCGATTATGCGATCGCAAGATTCCACGCAAAATCAGCCAAAGTCCGCATATTTATGCGGGGGGCGCGTTTTTTCAAATACGCCGCACTTTCGCCGCATAAATTGCAGATTTCTGCGCGCAAAATATGCGGGCTTGCATGATTTCATAATCCCCGCATTTTCGTTGCAAAAAGTCACATATATCTTAGCAGAAAGTTGAAAAATGTTGCGTTTACTTCACACAAGCGCAGCCATTTCCCCTGTTGCCATGGGAACGTTATGAAGTGTTAGAGGCTACGTAGTTAGTTTTATTCAGGAGTTTATGCAACTTTACAGTTGTAAGATTGCACTTTTTTGTTAGTAGTATGTAAATTTACATTACTGTAAGACTGTACTGTTACTGTATTGCTTACGTTACTGTGCACTGAAAACACTTATTTTAACAGAAGATGTCTGTTTTGTATAGCTACCTCTGTAAAACAGGAAGCACACATTTTATTTTTTTATATTTTATTTATTCATTTTTACAGAAGTTGTAGCATATTCATTTTGTAAAGCTACAGAACTTGTTCGACTCAATGTTTTGTAAGTTTGAGCCATCTGTTTAAGGTCTGAAATAAAACAAGATGAGAACTTAAATATTCCCAGCATTTTCTGTGATGTAGTATGCTTGCTTATCATAGGAAGTAATAAGAAATGACTCTTTACATTAAAGTAGTAGCCTAGTGAATAGGGTGTTGGGGGAATCACTTTTTTTTCTCTTTTTCATCAAACCGCCGTTTTTGCAAGTTCCCGCAATTTTTGCAAGTTCCCGCAATTTTTGCAAGTTCCCGCAAATTAATCGCATAAAATTGCATAAATACCCCGCATATTCCATCGCATTTTTTAAGAAAACGTGCCGCATAATCAACGATTTTTGCCCGCAACAATCACCAAAAAACTCCGCGTTTTTCTGGAGGGACTGATTGGGGAGCAGTGGGGGGGGGTGAGAAAAAAACTTTATAAATGTCATAAAAATAATCCAATATGAATGAAACTATGGTGTAAAGTTGTGTTGCTATTCGGCACAAAGATAAAGATCACCCATGTTGCCTTAAGAGGCAGTTGGGGCAAGTGCTGTTCGCGAGCACCTATGAAGGCCGGTACGGCATGCGAGCAGGTGGGTGACCAGCACCACGCCCGGCCGCCTTTGTCTCCCCAGTGGCGATGTTTACACACCGCACCAGGTACTCATTTGAGGCTGAGTCGACCTAGGGGAGGCCCAGAACCGATTCAGATCATCGTCACTGGTGTTGGCCGTGAGCGGGACGAGCTTAGGTCGCGGAGTTTCGTAGTGCAGCGCGTGCCAACCATTGCACTACCGCTCCTCACGCATACACACCGGCACACACTTACACACAAGCACACACAGACGACTGTTCTAGATTTTAAGTTTTCGTGACTGCAAGGATTCATACTCTTTGGTTTTTTCGGTAAAGTTACGTAGGTAAAAAAATTAAATAAAATCACAGCAAAATTTAGCTGTGACGGTTCTACCTGAAGAAGGAAGCTTGTGTTGCCTCCGAAACATCGTGATTTACATTTTTTACCTACGTGACTTTACCGAAAAAACCAAAGAGTACAGGCGACTGTGCCTACCAGGATGCGGTCGAAGGCAGACGGGGTCCCGCCCCTCTGCACGTGCCCCAGGATGGTGACTCGTGTGTCCAGCCCCAAGGACTTGGTCACCAGCTTGCGATGCGATGCCACACACGCGCAGTGTTATTCGAATTGCATTTAACACAGGTGGTTAGGACAACAAGAGTTTTGCACGGTAATTTTACTTTTTTTTCATTTTGCGTATTGCAAGAAATTGTAGCAGGTAACAGCGTCATTATTTACGCAGATCCAATGGCATGTTAAGAACATTCAATGAGTTCTTCGATTTCAAATTGCCAAAAGAAACAAGTCAAGGAAGCCAAAGTAGCCACAAGTCAAGCAAAGCAGGGTGAAAACACAAACAATAAAATATATGAACCCATACACAAGTATGCTCAACATTTCAGCATAGAAATCAGAGGTGCATTATTAATGTTTAAAGACTATAGGACAGCGCTTTTTATGAACATTGCTGCACCGATTATTTCCATCTTTGAATGTATTTTCTTAAATAATGTACAATATAAATATCACTGCAACATTGAAGCATGGTAATGAAAATGGGAAATACAAAATATGCCTATTTTTGAATGTGTATGATGACAGCATTTCATATATAGTTTTGCTTTTTCAGTGTTCAATTAAAGAACATTCATAACTATTAAGATATTTCTTTCATTGGGTAAATATAGAGGGGACAATTTCAATTATGAAGGGTACTACAAATCAAACAGAGGGGCAGGTTAGAATAAAAAAAACAAGACTTACTTTTAAGTGCCACTGCACAAATGTTTTAGCACAGATTTGTGCGTACAGCAAGATAACTGTAATGGAATTATAAATGTACTATTTTTTATTAGATGTCATGGTAATAACTTCCACATGACGCAATTTAATTTCCAGGCTTGAAATGGGCCTTTCTTAACAATGTGAAGCCCAAATAAACTGGCAAAGGAAGGTGTGAAATAATGCTTTAAAATAATAATTTCTCAAATTATGGCAACGCTCAGAAAGCGCAACATCTTCAACTTAGGATAATTGTTTTTTTACTATTTTATCTGGAAACAAAACTGACACTTTTTTTTTACAAGGAGTCATGTTTGCATAGACCACAATACCTGCAGTCATAATGCAAACAAAAAACATAACTCTGATAATACATGCACTGTCCTTGAGGTTCCAATGGTGTAAATGCTTACCCCGAGCTCTCATACTCTGATGGTGCATTGTCTTTGAGTTGTGCGCCATTTGGCGTCATCTGGTCCAACACCATGTGAGACGAGGTTCTAAGAAAAGCTGTCTCGGTGTGGACCAATCAACTTCAAGCACAGTGCATACATTATCAGAGTTGTGTTTTTTGTTTGCATTACGAATGCAGGTATTGTGGTCTATGCAAACATGACTCCTTGTAAAAAAAGGTGTCAGTTTTGTTGCCAGATAGAAGGGTAAAAAAACAATTATCATATTTTTTACTGGCAAATGAGGTTCCAATCGTGTAAATCTTCAAGTAGCTTCCAGGGAATTTTCTTGAAAATTAACTGAAGTTTAAACTGAAAAAGGAAAACTCTGCTCTCATTCAATCACTGCAAAGCATTGGCAAGTAAAGAGCTCTTCTTTGTCTCCCTGCACACCACTTTGTCAAAACAAACGTTTGATAACACTGGTCAACAAAAAAAAAAAATTCTGGCCTGGACTTTTGCAGCTGTTCTAGACTAATTTCAGGGTGCTGATTCCAAATCTGATCTCAGATTTGCCCTATCACATCTCATTTTTATGCTATCGGCATACCCAATTTTCATTGACTTTACCCGAAATTAACTCTGTCACTTATGATTGCAAGTTGTTGCGAGTCAGTAACTGCTTCAGTGTTAAAATATGGTGCTGTATTTTTAGGATAGTGTGTTTATAATATCATTGTATGTAGATATCCACATTTATTTAATATTTTTCTTCTGCAGTTTTTATTGAAAATGCAATATTTGATCTCTCAAAAACCTGATGTGATAGACAAAAACTGATGCCAGATTTGGAATCAGCACCCCAAAATTACCTTAAAACTGTTGGAATACCTTATGCCAGAAAAAGTGTGTTGACCAGTGTAATTAATTATATGCTGCACCGGCAATTAGAAAAATAACAACAGAGTCGTTGAACTGTCCAAACAACCATCGTCTGGTAGAGATTCGTTAACAGCTTAAACTGCTGGAGCAATTAAAGGAAAAATGTAAGGGTCACATGTAAATGTAATGATGTACTCGGGGTTAACAGAAGATGGAAGAAATTTACATTTAAACAAGTAATGATGTACATATAGTGTTGCTCAGCGCTGCCAGGATTTACCAAGAAATGTTTTAACGTAACTATTAGTGACATTCTATTTAACTTGTAAAAAAAAACATAACTGCAGGGAATATATTTCTTGACAGTGTGAACATTGCGAGATGCCTTTCTAACAATAAATAAATACGATAACTAATTTCTTGAGATCTGCCTTTCGTGTTTAGTTTGTTGAGCTTCCCCGGCACCTCTGATGAGCAAGGGTGGCTACATACGGTGCGAAAGAAGTTCAACATACATGCATGTGCTAGAAATAGGGGTGCCATGGTGGCAGAGGTCTCAAACGGGTTTTGATTCCTTACCCGTACCCGGCCGCACCAGGGTCGCAAATGGGTACCCATACCCGGCCGGGTACGGGTACCCGTTCCCTACCCGTACCCTACCCGAAATGAGTGACAAACGGTGACTCACCGGTGACTCACGGCCTACCCGTACCCGTACCCGGCCGCACCAGGGTCGCAAATGGGTACCCGTACCCGTACCCAGCCGGGTGAGGGTAGCCGGGTATCGGGTAGGGTACGGATATCGGGTACCCGATTGCGACCTCTGCATGGTGGCGAGATATTAACTACCTCGCCTAGTACACAGGAGGTCGTGGGTTTGACAAGCCACGTTGCGGCCTACAGAGCTACAACTCAAGCCACTCGCCGTACCCCAACATAAATAAGTATTCTCATTTATTAATTTTGCCGCATCTAAATTACGAGACGATCAGGGGTGCATCCATTCCAGCTACGTCTTTCAACTGCATTACTTTGCAAAGCCTTACTATTAAAATGTTCATATTGTATACTTACATTAATTTGTGAACAATACCCTAATTGGTACGAAATGTAATACAGCATCGTAAGTGTATTAAATTTCTCATATTAAGGACGGTTCAATCTCAGTGTAAATTTTAACCGGTACACCTTTCCAGTACACTGATCTAGATTGATGCCACATTTTCTAAATGTACAACTAATGTAAAGTCAAATTGTCCTGTGGAAATACTTGAATCTGCCATGGGAATGTGGAAGTTCTATTCTTGCCTCCTGACTGCCAGTGGAACTGAGCACCGCTCAACACTTGTCCCACCGTGCAGACCCTTTGCCTTCTCAGTTGTATTTCAAATATGACTACACTGTTATTGCACTCATGCAATAAGGTTTAGTTTTAGATAAAGACAAAAAAATAGAAGACGCAGTATTGGTGTTGCCTATATGTAATGGAAATGTTTCGCCGCTTACACAATGCCCCTTCTGGCACGCAATGAAGTCTGTCATTTTCACATCATGGTAAAAAGCTGATCGAGCATTCCTACCATAACCTCTATTTACAGTGCTTCGCAATGCTACGTACTACCTAAAAATTTGTAATTTTAATCAAATTAATCGGTTTTGATTTAATTGGCCGGTGTTTGCATCCTTATGGTTGCAATTTGACGATTTCGCACGGTGGCATGTCACTCGCTTTCCTCTCTGCTGCCCCCATCGTCTGGAACTCCCTGGCCCCAGCCGTCTGTGCCCTCGACTCCCTGCCACTGTTCAAGTCCAGTCTCAAGACCTTCCCTTTTGCCTCTGCCTCTGAACGACTGCCCCGATAAAATAAGAAAGCTCACTGTACGACACAGTGCCTTGACGCGCGTTTTCACTTAGAAGCTACAACAACACGAATGGTCCTCTATTGAATCAACAATACAGAGAAACCAGTCTTTTAAAGTACCAGTCAAAAGAAAAATCATGATGATGTCCAAGTGAGCGCGCATGTTTTCCTACTAAAGCTGACAAAGCTCATGTTTAAAACATGTTTTGTCTCATGTTCATTAGAAGAAATTCGGTATTGCGGCCAGCATAAAATAAATCGGTGGGATAGCGAGCGGAGCGATGGGGGAGCGAATTACGTGTGCTCTTTGAAGCGGAAAGCCACAGCAAGCAGGCACGGTCAGCAGCGCACGCTGTACTCACATCTTTAATTTTTTGCGAGCTTATTGGTTTGTTGAAAGAATCAATGGCACCCTCCGACACAATCATTACATTAAGTCTTTTCTTGCGCTGACGATTCTGAAAATTCGAACAGAACAAAAAACAGGAGGAAAAAAAAACAAGAAAGGAAACGGCGCAAATACGGTGATCATCAAGAAGAGGAAAATCAGAGGCTCGGTGAGGCCCGCCGCCGGTTTCATTCCCAGCAGCGCTTGCACGTTGTACGCATTCACACATCTCTAGTTCATATTTCACGAATAAAACGTTAACTTGAGGTGACAAAGGAATTGCGCAAACTTACCAAAATGACAAGCGAAAGCGTCTGAAATTACATCTCGTGTCGTAATTGGGCCTCCCGTGCACCCATTTTATTTCACTTAAAGCGCCCCCCCCCCCAAACACGCATTATTGATGCGACGCACGCACTGCAAAGATTTACTCTTGCCATCGCATTTTAGCAAACTGACGCACGGTCGTAGTTAGAAGCTTTATCAATCCAAATTGTGCGTTTCTTTCAGGTGCACAAGCATGCGATAGAATGCATTGTGCGGGCTGCCTAGTCGGCCAATTAAAAAGCTGCAATTAGCATTTCAGCTGTCTCACGTGCTAGCGCTGCTGGCAATGAATTCAGTGAGCTTCTATAGAGAAGAAGATATGCCCACGCGCGCGCCTTCCTCAATACACTTACCGCCTTGATAGCATCGCTGGTTATGGGCTTCCCAGTCGTATCAATGGCACCTTCTGACACTATGATTATGTTCAATCTGGAACCCCTGGCTCGGTTCTACACGTAATACACATGGCAAATACTTCGAAAAACATCAACACAAACATCGCGAGTGTCATCAGCAACATGAATTCGATTTCAAAGAACAAAAACACACGGTAATATAAATCAAGCATTTGTTCTTAAAAAATGTGACAGACATGGCTTGACGTTTTTAACGGCAATCTATTCTTTCCCAGGTAATTAAATAATTTTTGAAAGTCCATCTGGCTTCACACACACACATCATCGGTTGTCTCTTGATATGCTTTTTACACCCATAGCAGACGAGGGGTCCGCATGTATGTAGAACTTCTTTCACACCGTACGTAGCCAGCCATGCTAATTGGAGGTGCGAGAATTGTAACGCTCAGCCCATCATCTTGTTCTATACCACACAGATGCATGTAGCAAGCACTGCCTTGGTCCATTTCTCAAGTCTACATATTGCATGTTTTATTATGTATTATGCTTGTTCACACCAGAAAGCATCTGGTCAAATTCCCTTGGCAACGGCGGACTGATCTCTGTCGCTGGATAATCCGTCCCGATCACATTTTCTCCTACAGATTGGTGCCACTTTGGGAAAAAAAGTTCCAAAATGACATTTGGTGTAAATAAAACATTCAACATTTATAATAGCTATTAAGATCTTCTCTTGAAAAGAAGTTTCACGATTTAGATGTTTTCCCATTCTGCTTGAAGCAGGGATATGTTTGTGTGTGTGTGTGCACAAGCCACCCGCGCGTTTTAAGATGCGCTTCTGCGGCCGTCTGGAACGCTCTTCCTTCCCATATCAGGAAGCAACTGGACCTATGGCACTTTTAAATGTAGATTGAAAATGATTTCTTTAGAACTGCTTTTTGTGTTTGGTTTGTTGTCCTTCCCCCCCCACCTCCGATTATTGCGCATGGCTACGTACGGTGAGAAAGAAGTTCAACGTACATTATACACCCACTCAGGGGACTGAGCGTTCTGGGCGCATGGCCTTATGGGATACAGCAGAGGCGAGTTCATGGCTACCCAACTCCAGCCAATAAACCCGCAGCTTGTCAGCAATATTTGAGAACACAAGTGTGTGAAGCCAAGATGACTTACAAAAGCAAACATCTCCAAATAAACAGCAACATTATTTCAACAAGTAAAAAAAAACTGACAAAAATATTAAAACTTTAGTTTAAAAAAAAAATCAAGACATCAATTAAATACTGACATACGTGTTGGAATTTTTTTTTTCAGTTTTAAATGAGAAATATAAAAATAAGGATCGGCTTATAAACAAACAATTCTGGGGACAAACGTGCACCTTGCTTCACGCAAAGAAGACACGAGTTGCAGCTACACTGTCACCTGGGATTGAGGGCACGTGGACGAGGCACAAGCCTCGCGGGTATATCAATGTCTCTATTTGCGCAGAAGTTTTCTAGCAATGGCCAGTGGCATGAGATTAAAACCTGCATTGCGGTAAAATAAGATGGTACGACAGAACTGGAAGATGCCGTCAGGTTAAAGCGAGAATTCGCTAAATCTGTCTCTAAATCCAATTTGAACAATATGCAATGCCGTGGGAATAACACAAAATCGGTGGCAAGATGGTAACTACCTCGCCTGATATACATAAGGTCGTCGTTTCGATCCCATCCCTAATCCCTGTATATTTGGAGTTTTTCATGATCTCCCTGTGGTCGTGTGGATTTTTATCCAGGTCCTTCAATTTTTCCCTCCACATTTAGAAACATGCGTTTAGAGTATTTGGCTACTATAAATTCTATGTTCCTTCGCTATAGCTCAGTGGGCCTTACCTGCTAGCGCACGTGTATCTTAACCTTTTTCCGTTCCAATGGCGTACGTGTACATACGTGTACGTCATAAGTTATTCTTTTGATTCCATTCCGATGATGTACATCATCGCAAAGGAACCGGAACAAAAACTTAATTAAAATAATTTTATCAGTACCAAGGTTCCCTTAGGGCTGAGGGCAATGCGGGAGGGCGTGCGGCACAGTTTGGCATCAGCGATCATAGAGCGCGGTCGTGTCGCTACAGTTCTCTGCGGCGAATACAAAGTCTTTAAAAACAACGGGGCTACGCCTCTGCAAATAAAATTAACGCCAAACCGCTTGCGCATTCCGAGATTCAGCGGTGAACAAGACACCCATCCCGCAACTTGCAGACGTCTCAGAATGTGAAAGGGTTCATTGGCGGCTGTAATTTGCACCGGCACGTATGCTTAAACGGCAGCGTCGTCACGTTTAAGAGGATAACACAGGACGCTTTGGACGAGGCGTACAGAACGCAGGCTCAGGAGCGAGCAGGCGGGGGGGATACCTCGGTGAGCTTCGTGCACATCTTCTCTTCCCAGCCCTCCTCTGGGGGACTCTCCGGGATGAACACCCAGTCAGCGCCGCACGCCAGGGCACTCACCAACGCAAGGTAGCTGGTCACACAGGCGTTGCACCACGTGGGAGGCCAGTTTCATTTACTGAGCTTTTGTTTTTTTTGGTCACAGTCTCTGCATATAACACTCAAGATGGGGTGATGCTCAGAGCGAAAAAGCAGACAGATCGTTGTTGTTGTTGTACTGCCATCTCGTGGCAGCTTCAGAACTGAGCTTGCAAACAAACGTCTTGCGTTCAATGCAATGGGGAAATAAACTGAGATTTCAAATAAATACCTGTGGTGTGCTTTTGATTATTTCATGCATGAAAATTGTTTAGAATAAAATGTTTGTTTTCCCCTGATGTGCTAGATTCCATCTCTTATGTGTCCTCAATCAGTGAAGTCTTGCCAAAAAAATAAAGCGGCAAAAAATATAGCCACCATCCCCATCTAGTGGTGGATCAGAGCCCTGTTAAATTACTTCAGAAGCAGTCCTGTAACATCGTGTTCTCCGACAAGATATAATGCAATGCTCTCTCTCTCTCTCAGAGCATAGTGAATTGAAAAGTCTACGTCTCGAAAGCTGGTGCCCATAGCACACTTGGTTTGTAATTGAAATATTTTCAAGTTAACATTTTACGTAAGTTATCTTAAGCAAACACAAGCTCACATTCATGGTTTTCTACATCACGTAGCAAGTCCAACTGAACAAGCAGCTGAGCTCCAATCCAGCTTATAACTGTGCTAAAACTAATGAGAACGGTAAGATTTGTCCCATGGGATGAACGCCAATGGAAACTTTACGTGCCGTTTTGGCAGACGCAGTATCGCATATTTTGTGCGCGTAGCCGTTTATAATTTAAGAGCGCGCTATTACTAAAATCAACGCCGCTACGAAACAGTGCGCCAGGTGAAGAGTTTTGTAGGGCAAGGAGATCACTCTTTCCATTGCACAGCAGGATTAACCTCGGAAACTGAAGGAATTAGGGAGGATTTAGCCAACGATCCGTCACAGTGAATGTGCTTAACAATGACATCCACGACGGATTATATATATGCAGTAGTCCCTCGGTTAACAGCGACATTGGTTCACGGTGTTTTTTAGGTTAAAGTTTCGCCTCCCATAGAGCCCCATGGTTTCAACTAACGCTAAACTTCTGATTAACGGCGTGTTTACGTTATGCACGGGGGGCGCCAATTTCAGCCAATTTGAGCCCTTGAAGAAAGTGGGGCTGAGCCATGTCCTCAGCTAATCAGCGATGCCCATTTAAGAGCATTTACACCTCGACTGGCTTTGTTTACGTTACGTTTTCTGTTTTAGCGGTGGAAAACAGCTCTCCTGCAGACTCGGCGATTTTGACTTCATTTTTCAACTTAAAAGTGAATTCGATTAACAGTTACTTCGGTTCACGGTAGTTTTCTTGGAACGGATTAAGCACGTTAACCGAGGGGCCACCGTGTACATAGGCTGTTGTTAAGAATATTCCAGGAGGGCAGGAGAGGTGCAGGTTTGTAAAGACAAACCGGGTGTGGAGGGGAGGCAGAGAACGGGAGAGGGGGCTGCGTGCAGAGCCAACTGTCACGTACGGCAGAGGTCGCAAACGGGTTTTGATTCCTTACCCGTACCCGGCCGCACTAGGGTCGCAAACAGGTACCCGTACCCGGCCGGGTACGGGTAGCCGGGTATCAGGTAGGGTACGGGTATCGGGTACCCGGTTGCGACCTCTGACGTACGGATCTCTTATTATTTTCATTGAACAAATGTCACGTACATTTTTTTTTCCTCGCAACAATTTAATTATTGAAACGTTTTGCTTATTATTTTTTGAAAGGCAGTTAAATATACTGTGTTATCTTGGTGTGTTTGTTGTTGTTTTTGCTGCCGTGCCCAATAGTGAAAAAAAGAACTTCGTTCTTTCGTTTCTCAGTCCGCTTGTCCTGGCGAGGGTCACGGCGGCAGCGTGTTGAGTCGTGGCGGTCCAGACCTCCCTTTCCCTGGCGACAGACTCGAGCTTTTCCTGGGGAATTCCCAGGAGTTGCCAGGCCAGTTGAGTGACATAGTCCCGCCAGGGTGTCCTGGGCTGGCCTCGGACTTGTATAATTAAAATAGTTATTACTTATATTGGTAGGAACCTCCTGGTTACACCAGCCCACAGGGGATTATTGCGTCCGTCGTGCAGGGAGGGGCTGGGTGGGGAGGGCCTGGGTGGGGCTGGGTGGGGAGGGGAGGGTGGGGAGGGCCTGGGTGGGGCTGGGTGGGGCTGGGTGGGGAGGGGAGGGTGGGGAGGGGCTGGGTGGGGAGGGTGGAGCTGGGTGGGGGATGGGAGGGGTGGGGCTGGGTGGGGAGGGGCTGGTCACCCTGTGGTGCCCTTATCAAACTCAACGTTTAACCTACTCACGCCGGCTTGTGCCCGCCCTCACAGTCGGGCATATTTTCAGAATACACCACGCCGCCGTTGACCCTGGCCATTGACCGAGCAACCCAACGTTCCTACCAGCTCCCTCCGCAGGAATGTGTTATTTTGAGGAACCTAAAGCTTTACAAAGTAATTTGTCTTGGTGAGGCGTATTAGAGGTAGCATAACGCTATTGTTGAAAGTGGCGAAGGGAGATGTTGGGTAAAGCTGCGAGGCCTTCAACCCCACTCACAGCCTCTTGACTTCAACACGGCCAACATTCTTGGGAGAGTGGTGGCAATTGCCTGGAATTCACTGCATAGGTAGTGTTGGTGGATCATTAACACATCACAATTTTTAAACTTGCAAGCCCATGATGTGGCAGCTGAGAGCAATGTAAGTCTCTGACCCATCCGTACGGATTTTGGGAGAGTTATCCCCTTAAATGCATGGGTTATCTGTAGGTGTTCAGATGTCCTCCCCCATGGATAACCACCCATCAGACATTGGAGATCATCCCAAACAGGATAACCAATGTAAAGGAATCCTGGGGTGCAGTGAGACTTTCCAGGATGAAGGGCGTTAGAAGAAATTTATCAACGTCGGACAGTGGCAGCCAGAGGAGGGATTACACCAAAGTTGACGCGCAACGTGGAGATGGAGTGATACAATCAGCTCGTGTGCGGATTAATTGTTTTATACGTTGATCATTTCACTTACCGTTGTCTACACTATTGTATACTAAAAAAAATACGCTATTTTATTTTCGTCAAGGTAAAGGTATTCACATATTAAAATAAGGTAACATGGTCACACAATGCGTTACTTACCCGCAATGTCGTCCCATAACTTCCAAAACAAATGTCCTCTGATGGCTAGGTTGAGAAAAACAAACAACACAAGCATTAATATCACCAAAGCAATAACTCAGAGAGTGTAAATCGGCCACATAGGCTAACACCGACTGCCACGTGCAATTAAAGAACCACTGTTTCCACATAACTAAACTAAGACATCAATATTGCTTAAATGTCTCCCCTTGCAGTTAACATTCCTATGTGTGTGCCCGGTAACATAAACCGACGGGATGAGGGAACGCCATAGTGGACAAATGTAAACTACCTCGCCTGGTATTCAGGAGGTCATGAGTTCGATCCCAACCCTGACACCTGCCGTATATTTGAAGTTTGCATGTCTCTCCTCCCGTGGTCGTGTGGATTTTTCCCCGGGTCCTCCAGTTTTTCCCTCCACATTTACAAACACGCGTTTATAGTATTTGGCTGCTATGAATTTCCACGTGACAAGCCACTTCGTTGACCTACAATTTGTTGCCAGGTCGCTTGTGAAAAAGAGCTAGTGGGCCTTACCTTGTAAAACATTTTTTTTTCTAGTTTTCAACTTAGTCCCATGTATATATAAGCTAATTTTATTTTTACTCAGTCCATGGACAATTTATATTCAATGTTGCAGATTATATCCTGTAAAGTGGCACTATAGAAAAAAAAATTAAGCAAACAAGTCTACTCCATTTACTTTTACGTAAAGATTATTTGTATTGCCATGTTAAGGTAGGTGGAACGATAGCTTGGCGGTCAATCTGTCTAATATCAAAGGGTCGCAAGCAAGTACCGCTTTATATTCATTTCCACAGTGGAATTCTATCTATCGATGGTAATTACTGTTGGGCTGATAAGTGAAAGCTCCACATAATGAGATGGTAATTATGAACAGCGCTATAAATAACTGGTTTTATATCCTTACGGCTTAATGCTGGAGCATACATTTGAAATTACCTTTAACTGGAGTGGATCAAGAGCATTATTGTTTGCTGGGTAAATCCAGGTGATGTTCACTTGAATCCAACACGTATACAATTCCCAGAGAGCCTAAGCTATACTGAGACTGCATAAAATAACAAAAACTACAAAATCAGAACATCCAAGAATGTAACGTCTCTTTTAGAGTATTCATGTCAGATTTTGGAGAGAAAATAAACGACTTGCTTTAGCCTATGTTGCATGTACGTATGTAATGTTGAACTTCTTCTGCACCGTACGTAGCCAATCGCGCTAATCGGAGGTGCGGGGAAAGGACAACAAACTGAACGTAAAGAAATGAAATTAACTACCATTGGAACCACGTTTGCCAGTAAAAAATATGATAATTGTTTTTTTACCCTTCCATCTGGCAACAAAACTGACACCTTTTTTACAAGGAGTCATGTTTGCAAAGAACCACAATACCTGCAGTCATAATGGACCAGATCTAGTCCAACCCATGTGAGACTAGGCTCTAAGGAAAGCTGTCTCGGGTGTGGACCAATCAACTTCAAGGACAGTGCACATTATCAGAGTTATGTTTTTTTGTTGTTTGCATTATGACTGCAGGTATTGTGGTCTATGCAAACATGACTCCTTGTAAAAAAGGTGTCAGTCTTGTTGCCAGATGGAAGGGTAAAAAACCAATTATCAAATGAATTTTAATCGAGTTGGCTTCCTAATATCGGAAAGGGAAGAGCGTTCCAGACAGACGCGAGAAGCGCGAACCAACAGACACGTGCACGCACGGAGGGGAGGGCATTGCGCAATACCTCTGAGCCGTGGTCATGATGGCGTCCACAACCTCGATGATGCGGTGCAGCGCCGAGTCGGTGCCGATGGTCATGTCGGTGCCGCAGAAGTCATTGTCGATGGAGCCCACCATGCCCACGATGTTGAGATGCGAATACTTTTCCGCGACATCGTTCGAGATCTTGCCTGCAACGACGATAACATTAACAGCGAGCACACTTTCTATTCGTGCTATTCTTGATTGGAAAAAAATATATTTCTTTGGAACTGCTTTTTGTGTTTAGTTCGCTGTCATTCCCCCCCCCCCCCGCACCTCCAATTAGCACGGTTGGCTGTGTACGGTTTGAAATAAGTTCAACATACATACATTCTAACAGCACAAAACACCATCACTAAGGTGCTATGTTTCACGGACGGGTATAGAGTCTGCCAGTAGGGGGTGTTGCCGGCACACAAGGCCTCCAGTTTTTTATGTCACGGGATCTTTAATATCCACCGTGGAGCTGACGGCGAATATTTTTTTGGTGAATACTCCCACAGTATTAACCAGGGCGCCCACCGGGCTCTAACCACGATCCTCTGTAATAAGAAAAAATAATTCTGAGATCAACGAGATAAGTTCACGTGGAGGAACAAGATGGATGGTAGCAGCACAGACGACTGAACACTGGCGACGTCGTGTGGAGGCCTTCATCCAGCAGTGGACTGACGACGGCTGATGGTGATGGTGATGATGATAGTGAACGGACCGGTGAGAGGATGAGGAGGCTCACCCTGCTTGACGAGCTCCTGCAACAGGCCGCTCCACTCCTCGCGGAAGATGTTGGCGCCCGTCAGGCTGCCGTCGCCACCAATCACGCACAGGTTGGAGATTCCGCGCTGCACGAGGTGGAACGCCGCCGCGAGACGGCCATCGCGTGTGCGGAACTCCTTGCAGCGCGCGCTGCCAATCACGGTGCCACCCTGCATCCACACATACACATGGAAGCCTCGCTCAATATTCACTCGGCACGGTGCCACCTTAAGTCCACACACACACACGGAAGTCTCGCTCAATATTCACTCGGTACGGTGCCGCCCTGCATCCACACACACACACACACGGAAGCCTCGCTCAATATTCACTCGGCACGGTGCCACCTTGGGTCCACACACACACACAGAAGCCTCGCTCAATATTCACTCGGTACGGTGCCGCCCTGCGTCGAAGCACACACACACACGGAAGCCTCGCTCAATATTCACTCGGCACGGTGCCACCTTAAGTCCACACACACACACACACGGAAGCCTCGCTCAATATTCACTCGGTACGGTGCCGCCCTGCGTCGAAGCACACACACACACGGAAGCCTCGCTCAATATTCACTCGGCACGGTGCCACCTTAAGTCCACACACACACACGGAAGTCTCGCTCAATATTCACTCGGTACGGTGCCGCCCTGCGTCCACACACACACACGGAAGCCTCGCTCAATATTCACTCGGTACGGTGCCACCTTAAGTCCACACACACACACGGAAGTCTCGCTCAATATTCACTCAGCACGGTGCCGCCCTGCGTCCACACACACACACACACACACGGAAGCCTCGCTCAATATTCACTCAGCACGGTGCCGCCCTGCGTCCACACACACACGGAAGCCTCGCTCAATATTCACTCAGCACGGTGCCGCCCTGCGTCCACACACACACACACACGGAAGCCTCGCTCAATATTCACTCAGCACGGTGCCGCCCTGCGTCCACACACACACGGAAGCCTCGCTCAATATTCACTCAGCACGGTGCCGCCCTGCGTCCACACACACACGGAAGCCTCGCTCAATATTCACTCAGCACGGTGCCACCTTGGGTCCACACATACACACGGAAGCCTCGCTCAATATTCACTCGGCACGGTGCCGCATAGTTCTCATTTTAGGTTGAGTTTAGCTACAGGATTTCCAAACCAGATACCAATCGTCACTAGTGTGCAGGAATTTAACCCAGGTCAATGGGATTGTGACGTTGCATGCCGACTACTCAGCCATCTGTTCCCATGTACGGCAAGTCCTCACTTAACACGTGGCGTTCACCATGTTTCTATTGATATTATACATTTATTATATTGTCAGTATCTTTTTGTATTAATACCCATTGTTTTAATATTCTAATGTACGTTTTTTTTTCGATGCTATTAGAACGAATTAAACCTTTAACATGTATTTCCTATACTTGCTTAACGACCAAATCACTTAACGACCAATTACCATTGTTAAGTAGGGGTTCTAATGTATACCGTTCGTATGTGGGAGGATATTATGGTTACCAAAAAAGCTCCAGGCATAATTACAATAAACCAACACTCTACTAAACGATTTTTATTATGCCAGTTAAGGCCTACTGAGATATTTAGCTCTTTTTTAGAAGCAACCTGGCCACAAAGCTGAACAAAGCGGGCTTATCATGTGGAAATTTACGGCAGCCAAACACTATAAACGCATGTTGACCCGAATAAAAACCCATGCGACTATGAAGAGAACGTGCAAAATTCCAAATATACAGGCATCAGGGTCGGGATTGAGCCCACGACCTCCTGCATGCCAGGCAAGGGAGATAACATCTCGCCACTCAAGAACTGCACAGACTCTCCAATGATTGTCAAAATTCACCTGCTGCTCTACCTCCAGCATGCCCCTCCCCCACCCCTCTAGCGTGCAAGTGAACGTCTTCGCGCACAGTCTCGGCGCAACGCACGAACCCAGGGGTCGGGAACCTGTGGCTGCTGCTTCGTGACGTCGTCTATTAAGGGATCACCGTCTCGCATAAACATAGCTCCTGAAATATTGAATTTGTTACCGAATTCGAGCAAAATGGCTGTTCTTGTTATGATTGGTCAATTGCCGACCCCTGCACGAACCCCACCGTATCTACTGGACTATTTTTGCCGGTATCAAAATTAAACCGGTTTTACCCTTCCCAATAATTACACTGGTCAACAAAAAAATTAAAAAAATTCTGTCCTGGACTTTTGCAGCTGTTCTAGACTAATAATTTTGGGGTGCTGATTCCAAATCTGATCTCAGATTTGCTCTATCACATCTCATTTTTATGCTATCGGCATACCCCATTTTCATTGACTTTACCCGAAATTAACTCTGTTACTTATGATTGCAAGTTGTTGCGAGTCAGTGACTGCTTTAGTGTTAAAATATGGTGCTGTATTTTTAGGATAGTGTGTTTATAATATCATTTTATGTAGATATCCACATTTATTTAATTTTTTTCTGCACAGACTCTCCAATGATTGTCAAAATTCACCTGCTGCTCTACCTCCAGCATGCCCCTCCCCCACCCCTCTAGCGTGCAAGTGAACGTCTTCGCGCACAGTCTCGGCGCAACGCACGAACCCAGGGGTCGGGAACCTGTGGCTGCTGCTTCGTGACGTCGTCTATTAAGGGATCACCGTCTCGCATAAACATAGCTCCTGAAATATTGAATTTGTTACCGAATTCGAGCAAAATGGCTGTTCTTGTTATGATTGGTCAATTGCCGACCCCTGCACGAACCCCACCGTATCTACTGGACTATTTTTGCCGGTATCAAAATTAAACCGGTTTTACCCTTCCCAATAATTACACTGGTCAACAAAAAAATTAAAAAAATTCTGTCCTGGACTTTTGCAGCTGTTCTAGACTAATAATTTTGGGGTGCTGATTCCAAATCTGATCTCAGATTTGCTCTATCACATCTCATTTTTATGCTATCGGCATACCCCATTTTCATTGACTTTACCCGAAATTAACTCTGTTACTTATGATTGCAAGTTGTTGCGAGTCAGTGACTGCTTTAGTGTTAAAATATGGTGCTGTATTTTTAGGATAGTGTGTTTATAATATCATTTTATGTAGATATCCACATTTATTTAATTTTTTTCTTCTGCAGTTTTTATTGAAAATGCAATATTTTATATCTCTAAAAACCTGATGTGATAGACAAAAACTGATGCCAGATTTGGAATCAGCACCCCAAAATTACTTTAGAGCCGTTGGAATACCTTATGCCAGAAAAAGTGTGTTGACCAGTGTAATACAAGCGTTAAGATGCTCATACACCAAATAGACACCTATCGCAAGGCATCAAGTCTCCATTGACCACACATGATTGTGTAACACATGCAAACAAGCATGCTTCGATAATTACGTATACACCGTCTTCGAAACCGATTGGCCTACACCAGAGACAGCCTCATGTATGGCCTCGTCTCACCTGCGTTAGACCAGAGAACGCCAAAAAAGGTGAACAGCACAAAGGCAATGCCAATATCAAAGCATCAATATCTGGGGTGGAGCAGGTATCCATGAGACCCTGTTTGCCGGTTTATCAAAATTATGAAATAAGAATAGGCTTTGAACATTCCAACACCATCCGTATTGCCGCCGGAAAGGGTAAAGCCTTTTCCTTTTTCCCATAAGCCCACTGTGAGGCACAGATGGCAGGCACGCATCACAGACACTGCACTCTGCACCGATACAAAGGGCACTGAAATGAAGCAAAAGGAGGGAACAGCATCGAAAAAATGGGCAAGAGAAGAAATAGAACATAATTATAACTCATAATAATTTTTTATTTATTAACTAAATATTTTGTATTTTACCAGGTAAAGCCCACTGAGCTGTATAGATATTTTTCAGAGGCGACCCAGCCGCAAATGATAGGTCAATGAAGTGGCTTGTCATGTGGACATTTATTTTGCTATATTGCCACTTTACAGGAAACAATCTGCAAAATTCAAAATAAATTGTCCAAGGACTGGGTAACAATGAAACGAGTTTATAGCTACACGGGACTAACTCAACAACTATAAAAATATATATTTTACCAGGTAAGGTCCACTGAGCGATACAGCTCGTTTTCTGAGGCGACGTGGCCACAAATCATAGCTCAACGAAGCGGCATAAGATCATATTGAAATGTATAGTAGCAGCCAAATACTCTCATTACATGTTGATTGTAAATGTGGTGGGAAAAACCGGAACACCTGGAGAAAAATCCACACGCCCACGGAGAGAACATGCAAACTCCAAATATACAGGCATCGGGGTCGGGATTGAACCCATGACCTCTTGTATATCAGGCGAGGGATTTAAAGTCTCGCCACTGTGGCGCCCTATGCTTGTCTACCCAGGAGAGCCTCACCGAGATTCATGACTATTTTTCATGAGGGTTCTGCCATTTTTTTGCAGTAGGGGGCGACGAAAACTATGCACAGGATTATACAAATCGAGTAACTTGCGGTGTCATTCCCCAAACTTGGACCCTGACGCTGGCACACAATAGCCACGGGATCTTTAAACGTCCACTATGAAGGCAAACGGTGCGTGATGTTGTACGGTAAATGTTGAACCTCTTTCACACCGTACGTAGCCAACCGCGCTAAACGGAGGTGCGAACCCCTGCAACAAGCAGTGAACGCGCTACCGTGGGGCCAATCACACATTGCCATCGTTGTATGAACCCTGCATGTGCCGCGTGAGTCGTGGGGGTTGTTTTGACCATACTTCCCCACATTGAGAATAGGTTTTCCCCTTTTTTCTGGCAACAAAACAGCTGTGTTAAGATGCTAAAACACCAAACTGAAACATTTTACAAGGAATCATGTCTGCATTAACCACAATACTTGTGGTCAGAACGCAAACAAAAACACTGATAATAAATGCATTGTCTTTGAAACTGATTGGTCCACACCGGAGACAGCTTTCTTTTGAGCCTCGTCTCAAATGGTGTTAGACCAGAGGCTCGAAAGAAAGCTATCTCTCGTGTGGACCAATCAGTTTCAAGCACAATGCATTATATACTATCAGAGTATGTTTTTTGTTTGCATTCTGACCACAAGCATTGTGGTTAATGTAGACATGATTGCTTGTAAAAGGTTTCAGTTTGGTGTTTTAACATCTTAACACAGCTGTTTAGTTGCCAGAAAAATGGGGAAAACCTATTCTCATATTTTGGTACTGGCAAAGGAGGTCCCATGATGTTCACCACATTGGTCAATGCTGGTTGATGAAAGGTGGTGGGGCGGAACGGTGGAGGAGAGGCAAGATGAGTTTAAATATCACTCCCCTACTTATATTAGCCCCGGCCAGAAATTGATTTCAGGTCTCCAGATTCAAAACTCGTTGAGCTAACCTCTGTGTCACCAATGCTAATAAAAGTCTAGACAGACAGAAATAAAACAAAACCTTGTGCCAGAAGAGCTATTAGCAATGAGCCCTCTAGCCATGTGCATAGGTGGAGCCAAATCAATGCATCTGGCACCCTGCACAAAGTATTACCGCAGCAGGTGGCATGTACAACCCCGGAGATGGCACATAGTTTGCTAACAGAATAATCAATGGGCACGCTTTACCTGACACAGAAGGAAATGGAAGCTGATTCACAACCAATCCAACTCTGCACTTGGCAGCAGTGTGACAGCGGGCAATTGCATAAACCTCGCCAAGAACAAATTTTATCTTTTGGCGGCCAAGAGCGCTTTTCAATTTCTGGAAAAGTAAGGCTGAGGAGCGTATGACTGTTAAAGCGCATACCAACAACAAAAATAATAATATTCTCCTGCCCTCTGAACAGTCAGAGCAACTATGACTTTATTTGTAAATTAGCACGCTAAACGCACCGGGCACTGCTTGGACACCGCATTGTTAGCTGTGAGTACCAAACAAATACAATATGCTCACCGCATCTGCCTATTAATTGTCCCATATGTGAACTTATGCAAAAACCAGTATCGCATAATTTCGGCAGAATTCACAATTACCAGTAACCTAATGTTATGGTGGCGCCATCCATCTTAGGGAAATTACCTGGTGTATAAACTTTGTTCTTGCCAAATTCTGTCAATTGGCAATCCAATAAAAAATAAATATACAGCAGTTGTTTAACCTGATGCGATAATTCATGTGTTTCCCTTGCGTGATGAGCACGTAGGCCGCGTGACAATTACCGATGATCACAAACAGCACCGTAGGCAACATTGCCAGCAGCAAATGCACACGAGTGAGACGGGGATGTGTTCCCAACTGCCTTCTTTTCGCTGGCTACATATGTACAACATGGCTTAGAAGGATCACTGCTTGATTGGAGAATAAATGTGCAGTCACCCTGTCCCCATGATGCTAACACGGTTTCTTGGAAGTAATAAAAAAAAGCATTCAAACAGATCCCATGTGCCGAGTGGGAAAGAATGATTCACACCCCTAAAGGTAATGCATTTTGGGAAATGCAACACAACCACCATGAACTGTAAACCTTGTGAAATGCAAAGATAAGCCCATCGCGGATGTACACGTGAGTTTTGCATTATTTTTTTCAAAACAGTCATAGTGATGGGTGCGAAACTATTGATACAAAGGTAATTACAATACGTGCATAAATATTGATTTAAACGAGAACATTACTTCTTCTCTGACATTGTGATGCAAAGTGCGAGATGAAATTTAAACCCATGAAATATGTTTTACAAGAACGCTTCACTCGCTATAATATACACCGAACTGCGCATACACGAATTGCATTCCAACTACTCTTTATTGCCCTCGTCAAAATTAACTCCCATCATCTTGACTTAAGCCGAATGACATTAAAGTACTGTAAACCAAACTCCTCTCAGTGAATAGATAATTGTTTTTTCTTTGTCATTAAGTATGTGCTCTCTTGCATATGGCAAGAATAGGTACGCGATTAAACATGATCAGTTATCGCCGAGTTCACAAGCGTTTAAACAGACCCGGCGTAACGATTTGAATAGCCACGTTCATTATTCGAACAGTGTCCTTGAGCGGCACGCAAGAAGGGCAATGGAGGCTCTTACGGTTCTGTTCCTGAGAGACAGCGTCATCGATTGCTGTTTTCATGACAACAAAACGCAGCCTACATTGCCTCCACGGCGATGAATAAGGTACCTCGATAAAGATCGGCTCCGTTTTGCTCAGATGAGGCGAAATGCCAGCGGGCAGAGCTTTAAGTAGGATATTGTAATCTCAGATAATTCCCGAGCAAATACTAAATGAGTGGGTATACGAATACTCGAATGAGCATCGTCTGGGACTCATCTCTGCTGGGAGGGTACCAAGGCAAGGAGGTGGGGGATGAGCTCCCTCATGGTTGAGACCACTTTTACTGGACATCTGTGAAAAAGAGCTTTAAAGATCATCGGATTCGTCCAGTATAAATAAATATATCATGATTTCACAGTTGCTTTCCCACAAAGAGGTACTTATCTTAAGGACCGTACAAGAATAATGAGCTGAATCAAACCCCACAGACCTTCCAATAATTTCCTTCACTTCAACTTTAATTGATATTCAATGTGACAACTATCAACTCAATGCCCTTCACAAGATTACAATCGGTAAGGTTACAGGTTGACCAATACACCATGAAGTCACGAAGCAATGCTACGTGACAGATACCGGTACAAGACAAACCACAAAATGTGAATGCGTTCAAAACGATAATGGTGAGGATGCAGTAATACGGCTTTGGTAAGCGCACTTAGAAATGTCAAATAAATTACCAGTTGAAGGATGCTTGAGACACTCTCCCAGTTTGCTTCTTCGATGTGGTCTCCTCCATCCACCATCCCTTGATAACCCTGAACAACGTGGGGGGGGGGGGGGGGACCCACAAACGTTCAACGCAAAGACGTTAGTGAAAAAAAAAACCTACGCACAACAATACAAAAAACATCGCTCATCCTCTGTGACTTGGCCCGGCATTTCATTGGCACGCGTGCTCACGACCACTCATTAGCACAATGATGACGCTTCTGATTTCGCTTGAAGACTTGTATAACATTCCTTATTTTACCTGAAGTACCTTGAGAACACATATATGTATGCATACGAGGTGATAATGCTTCAAATATTTGTATGGATAGGTCCGCAACATACTTGCTGTACTTTCAACAGACTGCTCACTTTTAAACCGTGTAGGTGGGTGTCCCATACTCTCTCCGATGTTTGCACAATCGTACAGTCCTCACAGCGAGCAGCTAATGCCCTTCAGAAAAACCACTCTCTCTTAGCTTGCGCTTGCAAAACACTAAATCATTCATCTGAATTGGAGCGGATGTGCTTTTCAACTAAGTGGGCAGAAGGAGCCACAGACAGAGATACAAAAAAATCCCTGACTTCTGCAGAGTCTGTGAAGACTGGGAAGGTCAGCAACAGTCCATGGGGACTCCAGAAGACGAGTTATTTCTGCATACCAGGGTCAAAACTCGTTCTTCATTGCGGATTCAGCTCATAACCTGTGTCGAGATCTCTCACTCTGTGGCAGACACGAAGAGCTTTTACTGCACCTGTATTCCTCACTGTAATATTCATCCACTCACCCGAACAAACGATGATGCTAAATACAACTGCATTTAAAAATGTGATTTGTAACTTTCATCCTTGCCCGTGTATCGACAGTTCAATTGAAATGTGCAATTTTATTGCGTGACTGTGCATTGTCTTGGTGTGGTCTGGGACTGTTTCTGCTGTTGTCTTCCTGCCTTGCCCAAGCTTTGGGAATTGGTTTACTTATGCAATATCTAACTTTGATCTATTTGACGTATTTATTTTTTGTGATTTGCTTTGCTTCCCTATACTTTGCACTCCGATCGTTGTTTTTTTGTCTTCTTTGTTATTGTAACTTTTCTGACCTGCCCCTCCTGGACATCTGTGAAGAAGAGCTCCATAGCTCATCAGATTACGAGAGGACAAAATAAAGATTCTGATCGGAAAGATTCTGAGTTGGATTGCCAAGAGGAGATTCCACACACATTTCACACATTTGCTGCATGAATGGAAACGAGGCATAATGGGTGAATGGCAGGTTGAGAGGAGAGTGACCCAATGTAGTGTAAAAGCCATTCATAATCATCTTAATCATCATACTGTACCATAACCTATCCTCTGCTTGTAATGACAGGTTGAGATGAGTGACCCAATGTAGTCTAAAAGCCATTCATAATCATCTTAACCATCATCATAATCTGCCATGATTTATCCACTGCTGGATGAAGGCCTGTCACCATCTGCGGTTGTAGTAGTACTCAAATTTGCATGCGCAATCATCTGTGGATTGTAGTCTTTTTTGCTATGAAACACCCACTCCAGCGTGATTCAGCGTTAGTCACACATCCCAGCAGTGTGACAAACCAACGGTCAGGAGGTCCCAATTTCCATAAGCTACGTGCGCCACATATTCAGCAGCATTTTTCCTTTCAAGCATATATTCTTCTTATTATTTTGTTGCTCATATGAGTGGAATGACTTTTTTTTTCAGGAAGGGTCCTGCCAAAATTTCCGTAGTATGGGGGGGGGGAGATGTTACTGTGTGTGATCCCAACTGAGTAATTTGCAGATAACTTTTCAGCAGATTGAGATGTTTGTCCAACCTCGGTTACACTGTGGGTCTGGTTTTATTTCAGTTAAGGGAGGAAATCGGAGAACCCAGAAGAAACCAATGTGGACGGAGGGGGGGGGAAATACACAGATAGGCATCCAAGTAGGGAAGCAAAGGCACATATACGCAGATGCACTCTGAGATGACCAATTACGTTTATCTGCCAGGCTTTTTGGTCGCTACTAGAATGACAACATTTTAAATGTGAAAGACATCATAGCTTTGCGGTAGCAGACTGCCAGCAAAACGAACCTGCATTGAGTGGAGCACGTGGCTTATGGAGATTGGATCGTGAGCAGTTGTGGTTTGTCACATTGCATGTATGCGTGACTAATGTTGAGTCACACAGCAGTGGGAGGTTTGTTTAAAAAGAGAAATGTATAATTCCGCAAATTAAATTGCATGCCAGGTCTGAAATTGTGCTCCTGCTAAAACTAAAAACTATTTTTATTTTACCAGGTAAGGCCCACTGAGCTATGTAGCTCTTTTTCAGAAGCCACCTGGCCACAAATGATAGCTCAACGAAGTGGCTTATTACGTGGATATTTTATAGCAGCCAAATACTCCAAACGTGTGATGTTTATTATAAATGTAGAGGGAAAAACTGGAGAACAGGAAGAAAAATCCACACGACCACGGGGAGAACAAGCAAACTCAAAATATACAGCAAGCGTCAGGGTTGGGATCGAACTCACGACCTCCTGTATACCAGGCAATGTAGTTAACATCTCGCCACCGTGCTCCAATGCCCATCCCCCAAAAGCATTGTCTCAATGCCACTGCTGGCGTAAGGGCCTCCACCCACAACCCCTGCCACGAATGTCGCTCTCATCAAGCAGCATAAACCGTCACGCGAACTCCGTTTTGGCTTAACCATCGAACAAAGATGGCTGCAGCCGTCTGGAACGCTCTTCCTTACGATATTAGGAAGAAACTGGAGCTATGCACTTTTAAATATAGACTGAAAACTAATTTCTTCAGAACTGCTTTTTGCGTTTAGTTTGTTGTCCTTCCCAGCACCTCCAATAAGCACGGTTGGCTACGTACGGTGCGATATAAGTTTCATTATTATACATACATCGCGAATGGGAATATTTATACAATTATCGAGAGACAACACCAATTACACTGGTCAACAAAAAAAAAACATTTTTTTCTGGCCTGGACTTTTGCAGCTGTTTTAGACTAATTTCAGGGTGCTGATTCCAAATCTGATCTCAGATTTGCTCTATCACATCTCATTTTTATGCTATCGGCATACCCAATTTTCATTGCTTTTACCCAAAATTAACTCTGTCACTTATGAGTGCAAGTTGTTGCGAGTCAGTGACTGCTTTAGTGTTAAAATATGGTGCTGTATTTTTATGATAGTGTGTTTATAATATAATTTTATGTAGATATCCACATTTATTTAATATTTTTCTTCTGCAGTTTTTATGGAAAATGCAATATTTGATATCTCAAAAACCTGATGCGATAAACAAAAACTGATGCCAGATTTGGAATCAGCAGCCAAAAATTACATTAAAACCGTTGGAATACCTTATGCCAGAAAAAGTGTGTTGACCAGTGATATTAATTACTAGAAGGGTAGCCTGTCTTACACACGAGATCACGTGACACTCACCACTCACCAACTACCAGAGGTCGCAAACGGGTTTTGATTCCTTACCCGTACCCGTACCCGGCCGCACCAGGGTCGCAAACGGGTAGGCGGGTATCGGGTAGGGTACGGGTATCGGGTCCCCGGTTGCGACCTCTGGTTGGCAGGCGTGTTTCTCGTCCTGTGTGGTGGGTGTCAGTGCGTGCAATAGCGCGTTGCGTCCAAGAGACGGCGCACCACTCGCCGTGACTACAATGCGATGATCATTTTACTGGGGGTCCGGCAACCGAAAGAACAAGAAAATACATTGTTTTCCCATTACGGTAAAATAAAACTCAATATTTCAAGAGCCGTAATTGCTCGTGAATACACACACACATTACATACAGTACGTCACGAAGCAGTCCATAAAGAGTCACATGCGGCTCAAGACCCGCAAGGTTTCCAAACCCTGACTTTACAAAGGTCAGGCGCGGGTCGTGCATGACCACTTTTGAAAAGTCATCGTTCCCCGAATTTCTCTGGTCAAAAGGAGCCATCGCTGGATCCCGGATAATGAGGATTACTCAACGAGACGCTGTGAAAGACAGCAGTCCCATCCTATTGGCCATGCATAGCTATCATTTGTGGCCAGGTTGCTTCTGAAAAAAGAGCTATATACACACAGTATACCGTCGTTTTCTTGGTTCTTTCGGTAAAGTCACGTAGAAGGGAAATAATACAATAATAAAAATAAAACATAATAAAATACAATTCTCACGACGTTTCGGCCACAACGCAAGCAGCCGTCCTCAGGTGAAGAAGCCATTCAGACGCTGTCTTTCCGACAGACCTGTTCTTCACCTGAGGACGGCTGCTTGCGTTGTGGCCAAAACGTCGTGAGAATAGTATTTTATTATGTTTTATTCGTATTATTTTATTATTTCCCTTCTACGTGACTTTACCGAAAGAACCAAGAAGATGAATCCCTGCAGTCACGAAAGCTTTAAATCGAAATTTAGACCGTCGTTATTCACGAACTTGCTATCCGCGATTTTGGCTACCCGCGAATCACATCTGGAACACGACACGAATTGCATCGAGAGAGAGAGTGAGAGAAAGAAAGTGATCAGAGATAAAGTGATGAGACATAAAGAGATGTGAAGAGATTATGATCATTTTGATTTAAAGCTGTCGTGACTGCAGGGATTCATATTCTTGTCACGTAGAAGGGAAATAATAATAATAATATATATTATTATTTATTTTATTATTTCCCTTCTACGTGACTTTACCTGAAAGAAGCAACGAATAAGATTATGATAATGTTCATGTATTTAATGTTATTTAAGTATTTTCTTACAGTAATTCATTAAAGATATAGGGTTTCGTTGGACAATATCGTAATCCGTGAAATTTGCTATTAACGAGCATCTCCAGCAATGTACCCTTCACGAATAACGAGAGAATACTCTAGCTTGGTGGGCCTTACCTGGTAAAATAAAAATAAAATTGTGCAGTTTAGTATAAGCCCTCTGCTTCCTCTTCTGTGCTGCCTCTCCCATTGGGCCCTCCCATTGGTCCTCACCTTTTCCAACACTGTTTCACCACCTGGACCACTCATTTATTTTTTAGCAAATATAAAGATCACCTCTCCACATTAGTTCTACGGCTGCTGCGATCAGGCGATAGATACGATACGTGTCGAACGATATGAGATCCACAATAATCCTATTGTCCGTTTTGCACAATATCACTATATTGTGCTTATCATAGTGAATTGTTCTTAAATAAAATAATAAAAATAAGCAAGCAGCAGGACGGCTGCTTGCTTTGTGGCCGAAACGTCGTGAGAATTATTTTATTATGTTTTATTTTTATTATTTTATTATTTCCATTCTACGTGACTTTACTGAAAGAACCAAGAAGATGAATCCCTGCAGTCACGAAAGCTTTAAATCGAAATTTGTTCTTAAATACATTTATTTGCCGACAATAATTGTACTTGCCGGCAATACACTTATTAAACAACAATACTGAAAGATCACAAGAACAACGAATTCAAAAAATATGTTACTGTACCGATTAAATGGGTGCATTATACCCGATGGCTATATGGTGTGGTGTATTTCAGAAAGCTCGTGCGTATTATCGTGAGAGATTGAAAACGTTGCAACGATTAAAAAGGCTTATGACAAGATGATGCTGAGTGAAACTCAGTTGAATAACGTTTAACTGTGCACGTTTTTGTGACATGATTTGTCACATTTAACCAAGAACGCACGATTTTTATGTTTTCAAATTAGTTCAATAAATTTGCTAATAAAAAATATATACAAATATAAAGACCTCGTAGTGTGTTTTTATTGCAACATAAGGGCCTGCGTTTATTACAATGTGCAATTACATTTATTTCTTGTTAACGTTGCATTCACCCCTGCATAACGTTATTTGCTACTCATATGCGTTTACAATAATATTAAGTATGTTGGCTAATTATTTTGGAAAAATGGATACCTGTATGTGAGAACTATTAAAATAGAAATGTATAAACACAAACTTTGGATGCATCACAATCTGGGTTAATTTTAATATTAATTTAGGTTTAACTTATTTTATTTTTTAATTCCTCAAATCATTTTTACCCACAACAAAACATTACTAAATAAATGTATAAAACATCCCATGCAGGAGGCTCGGTAGGACATCCATAAATGCATTTGAGACTTCAATGTCAATTAAGGACGATTACATTTTAGGCCTCTCGAAAAAGTGAAAAATGTAATCTTTTTTTTATATTATTTGCATTTTCACATTTTCATTGCTAAGTGAGCTGAGTGTGACCTACTTTCCAGAGATGAAAATCTGGCTTTGTTCCAGGTGAGAGCCTGACACAGCCTCACTTAGCCATACAATGGTGCAAGATGTTAACTACCTGGCCTGGTATACAGGAGGTCGTGGGTTCCATCCCAACCCTGACGCCTGTATATATTGGGGGTTTGCATGTTCTTCCCGTGGTCGTGTGGGTTTCTCTCCGGGTCCTCCGGTTTTTCCCTCCACATTTAGAAACATGCGTTTAAGAGTATTTGGCTGCTACGAATTTCCACGTGATGAGCCACTTCGTAGAGCTCTCATTTGTTGCCAGGCCGCTTCTGAAGAGCTATATAGCTCAGTGGGCCTTACCTGGTAGAATAAAAATCATAGTAGTAGTATGCAGATTCAAAGGTAAACTAAATGAGGCAGCATCTCAAGGCGCTACAGAGAAACTGACTGCCTATGACGCTCGGTCATAGGCATAGGGGAAAAAGGATAGTCTTGAGGCTGGTCCTGAACAGTGGCAGGGAGTCAACAGCACAGATGACTGGAGCAAGTATGATCCAGACTTATGAGAGCAGCAGATAAGAAGAAGAATGAGTGACCTGACAACATCAGTTCTCACCTGACACAGTTTCACTCGGCTGAGCCACGCGTTTAGCCCAGTGTAAAATAGGACTGACGGCTGCGTCCAATAAGGCACCACCTACCTCATGGACGAAATAGACCTTGGCCCCAACATAGATGCCCATGCGCACCACTGCACGGACGGCTGCATTCATGCCTGCAGAACAAAGCACAGGAAAAAGGTCGGTCAAGAAAGCTGGCTTGCGAGGTTGTTTACAACAACAAACAAACGAATGAGAAAATTACAAAAAGTGCCGTATATAATACTGATCGTCAACATCATCATCAGACATGGTCTATCCAATTTAAAGCTTTCGTGACTGCATAGATTCATATTCTTGGTTCTTTCAGGTAAAGTCACGTAGAAGGGAAATAATAAAATAATAAAATAAAACATAATAAGATAAAATTCTCACGACGTTTCTGCCACAACGCAAGCAGCCGTCCTCAGGTGAAGAAACGTGAAGAACAGGACGCTGTCTTTCCGACAGCCCTGTTCTTCACCTGAGGACGGCTGCTTGCGTTGTGGCCGAAACGTCGTGAGAATTTTATCTTATGTTTTATTTTTATTATTTTATTATTTCCCTTCTACGTGACTTTACCGAAAGAACCAAGAATATGGTCTATCCACTGCTGTATGAAGCTCCCCCCCCCCTTGCCCCACCATCAAGCCCCCACCAACTCTTAGGACCCTGCAAAGTAAATAATCCCCTTAGCACTTGCACATACACTTCAGAGATGAACAAGCACACTTCATGAATAGTGAATTTCGACCACGTGTCAATTCACTGCTGGATGTGAAGGCCTCGCCACTCCTCTCGATCACTGGGGTCCTTTGACCACCATGCTTCACTGTGCTGGTGAGTATGGGTTGATAACGTTGGGTGGGGGGGGTGGTGGTTGGTGGGGGGCAAGACTGGTTGAGAAGTCCCTTGCCCACTGATTGTAGCCTTGGCAGGAAATCCAACTCGGGTAGCTGGGTTCATAGTGCAAGTGCGTTCACCACTGTACCTCTGAACTGCCTGAATAGTCAAGATAACTGTTTTTAAAAAAAAAAACATTTAATTGCAAAACCCTTTAGTAAAAAAAAGTACAGCTGTTTTTGTCTAATTCAGCAATATATGTATCTAGACTTATCAAAGCAGAACCATTTTCCCTTATGGGTCAGTAAAGTAAATACCACCTCATTGAGCTGAGCCTGGCCAACAAAAAAGTCAACTAAAATGGTGTTGCGCGAAGAGACCGCAAAACGAACGTCACCCAAAAATGCAATGGTGTGGTAAACGCACGTGGAGATGTGCATGCAGCGGTGAATACGAACTGCAATGCCACCCCTGCTTGTGTCATTCATGATGGGCCCACAATTACTACAGGCTGGTCCAGATGACTTGTGACCCCCCCCCCCCCCCCCCAATGAATTGACCCCCTCAGGCATTTGTTTCTACTTTGCATATTCATTTCTCTTTTAAATAAACCTCTAGTTAGAAAGATGGAGTTTTAGAAAGTTCAATGGGGTTCACAAGAAATCTGGACCACCTTGTATGAACAATCACAATATTTTTTTCAGCAATGCAGATACGAGATGAATGCACTCGGTTGTCGCTCCGCCGCTACATTCCATGTAGCCCTTTGACGCTACAATGATGTAACAGATAGATGCACCACCACTCTGAAATCCCCGAGTATTTTCGTTACTGCCTAGTAAACAGTGCAGAGTGTTTCCCCATTGCAAAAACACAGATTCATCAATCTTACACAATCTGGAAGGGCGAGCTTTCCAACATTCCACGTTGCCTTTCATTCACATAAGACACCACCCACGTTTCTAATTGCATCTTAATGGCTCTTCGCATTTTTCCCAGAAGGTAAATTGCATTAATTAACATTTCCCAGTCACACAGTTCACAATGCATTATTGCAAAACTCTGTGATACTGGTGAGACAATAAAATATTCGTTAGGCTCTAGATTACCTCTTGAGAACAAACACCCCCCTCCCCAAACATTCCTCGTGCTTTAAGTATCAGCTCGCGTTTCGTTCTTGTGCATTTCCGCGGCGGATGCCATTTTAGAATTTGCGTTCCGTCAAAGTTATTACGTTTAAAGTCTATTTGTGCAATATGCTGCAATTAAACCAGTTTCAAACCAGCCGAAACACGGGTCTACATCTTTGCACTGGTTACAGGTAAAACAGATACTTTTGCTCGTACTGCAACCCACAAACTTGGCGAAATTAACAATGAAATCCTGGAGTAATGTGGCATTCAGAATAAACACCTTTAGATTTGAAGTTTTCGTGACTGCAAGGATCCATACTCTTTGGTTCTTTCGGTAAAGTCACGTAGGTAAAAAATATATAATAATTAAATGAAAATAAATTTCGATTTAAAGCTTTCGTGACTGCAGGGATTCATCTTCTTGGTTCTTTCGGTAAAGTCACGTAGAAAGGAAATAATAAAATAATAACAAAATAATACAAGTATGATGTTTTATTTTTATTATTTTATTTTTTCCCTTTACGTGACTTTACCGAAAGAACCAAGAAGATAAATGAAAATAACTAAATTAAATCACGACGTTTCGGAGGTAACACAAGCTTCCATCATCAGGTGGAAGAGCCACAACAAAATTACTCGCTATGGAAGCTTGTGTTGCCTCCGAAACGTCGTGATTTAATTTAGTGATTTTTTTTTCATCTTCGTGACTTTACCGAAAGAACCAAAGAGTAATAAACACCTCAAACGAGACCCAAACATCACACCTTCTGGCTTTTGACATTCATCAAAAGACACTGTTGGGAACCATCAACCGCGTCAGAACATCAATGAGCCGATGCGCACATCTCCCACATGAATGGGAAATTAAAGCCAATGCCACAACAACCTTGCGATTGTGCCCACGCAACCCAAACTACGGCCCATCGAGTAAACCACTCCTTCAACGGGAGGAGGAAAAGCAAAACGACACGAAACGAACGCCCCCGAAGCGCTCCCATGGCGAGCAGACCTCGACATTGGCATCTAGTTTCTGAACGTAACAGTATCGCCATACACAATCATAGAACACTGGCCTTACAGTACGATGTAATGCACTGCGAAGGAGGTTTTAACAATTGTTTTTATGCACTGCACAGCTCACCGCTACAAAGCCCAATGAGACCGTACTGTTAAGCGAAAGCCTCATCAAGGGTCTAATCGTCCTTAGCGCGCTCAAGGACGAAGGGGCAGATTGTAAACCCCAAACCCCCACCGCGACCGGCTGCAGCAGAACCTCCTGGAGCAGCAGCACTGCCCACCGCTCAGCGCCAAATCTAACTCCCTCAACCCAGGGGGCACCACGGTGGCGAGATATTAACTGCCTCGCCTGGTATACAGGAGGCCGTGGGTTCGACCCTGACTCCTGTACATTTGGAGTTTGCATGTTCTCTCCCCGTGGTCACGTGGATTTTTTCCGGGTCCTTCGGTTTTTCCCTCCACATTTAGAAACGTGCGTTTTAGAGTATTTGGCGGCTATATATTTCCACATGATAAGCCACTTCGTTGAGCTATCATTTGTGGCCAGGTCGCTTCTGAACGATTAATCGATTTCAAATCGAAATCGCAATTTGAAACAATGCGATTAGCAAATCCCAAAGGCTGCGATTTTTTGCGATTTGAACAGTGCTATGACTTTCTTATTGGAATTTTTTTTATCATCATAACTTTATTTATTTAACTTAACAATTGTTCTATGTTTGATTGTTCTATTTCAATTGAAACATTTAATAAATACATGTTGGAATCAATTAATATCTTTTAAGTTCTCATCCTTGCATTAGAATATATGGAGCAGTTCATATTTTGATGGTATCATGTGGTAATGCTCCATCACATGTTTTAAATCTATTACACAGTGAATATTGAACTGAAGCTTGACTTAAAAAATGTTAATCGCAAATCAATTCGCAATGTCAGAAAAATCGCAATTAGATATTTTCCCCAAATCGTTCAGCCCTAGCTTCTACGCTCCCCCAGCCTCACCGACCGGCACCAACCAGCGTGGGGGGAAGTGTGGTCACATAATAATCCCCACGGCCCACAAGGTGCAGAGGCGAGGCCCTCATCCGGCAGTGGATTTACAAGCGCTGCACTCTACACCGGCAACCAAGCTTTTGATTCCGTGGCACCAGGACAGCGAAGCTCTCTCTGCCGAAGGCTGTCACAGCGGGTACGGTTGGGATCTTCCAGTCTCGAATTAAAATCATTCCTCTTTCAAGAAGCATTTATTGTCTTAACCTATGCCACTTCTTACCCATCCCCTCCCATTATCATCGTTGTAAAGCGCCTTGAGACGGCATTCTGAAAAGCGCGATCTGCGCTGTAATTAGTTATTATTACATATGTGCACACTGTCCTAATACACCAAAAAATGTATTTGGTCCAGGTGAATAATCTCATGACATTTGTAATGTACTGTACCTGTACACCTGGCAGGCTATGAAGAAGGACCATTGTCTAAAACGTCGCCAATGCCATATTGCCACCCAATCTCTTAAACTCCACGGCCGCGGTATTATCAAATGTGTTGAGTTTTTGATGATGGACTGTGCATACCTGTCAACCCCTTATCAGTGCCCTACCTTATTAGAGACCAATCCAGACCTTATTGGTCACCCCGTGCCCTTATAAATCTCAACGTTCATCCTACAAAGTCCCATCACAAGGGATAAACACAAACAAATAGACAAAAATATATATTTTTTGCCCGTATTGAAACGGCTGTATGCTGTATAGACCTGAAAACTAAATTTCCCTGGACAAGAATAGGGGGTAAACCGTATGGGTTGACAGGTACGGCTGTGTGTTGCATCCGATTAGCCAAAGATACACAACCCTCCACAGTGGTTGTAAATGTACAATGGTTTAACAGACGTGTGCTGCCTACAACTGGTTTTTTTCCTGCTGAGGCCTGTGCCATTGAAGAAAATATCCACCCTACTGCCTTCATGAATAACACACGGTAACCATACAGCATGCACTCTGCTTTATTGTGCACATTGTGTACTGTGCTGGATCACCAAATTCAATTATCTCACACACTGCAAATGTAAACTCGCAACCATTGACTGCTTAGACTCGTATTTATTTAATGGTGCCCATAAATAGCAAAAAGATGTGTT